TGCTGACCCGCTCCAGTGCCTAATGCCGAAAAAAGACTCACAGAACATAAGAGCTAGATTCCGAACAAGTGAGTAAGAGAGCGTAAGTGCGTGAGAGTGCGAATGTACAACGGTCTCAAGCTATTTTTGGAGGGACACTGTCTGAACTTGTTCCAATTCTGACGCATGCGGTCTGGCTTTGATACAAGACCGTGACGCGCTGCATATTGAGGGGGCGTTGTCTGACTGGTCAACATCTAGCAGAGCTGAGAGTCTCAGTAGAGTTCGGGCATTCAGGAAGCTGACCTTCCTGAAAGTCCTCATGAAATCAACCAAGGACAAATGCTTTGTTTTAATCCTTCCCATTTGCCCAGCGATTGTCACGTCGTCCAGCTGCAGCACTCTCTTGGTGTCTAGCTGCCATGATAACGGAAGGAGGCACGAGAGCTGGTCAACAGAAGAGCAGTCGAGATGCTGACGTTGGCTTCTATCCACGGACATTAGGTCGGTAAGCTGGTGCCTTGACTACTAAGCTATCTCGAGCCTTGTCCAGAAATAAATATCATGATGTCTTGCAGCTGGGTCACACACTTTGTGATATAAACATCGCAACTCCATCATTCAACTTTAAAGGGACCACACTATTCTTCACGATGATAGGTGGGAGCAGGGCAGACTAGAAGACAAAATCTGAAATATCATCATCATTATCGACGGCACGACATCAGTGTTGAACACCGATGCTTCACTGCCGCATGGTTGTACGAGGGCTGGAATACTGCCAGGGCGCCCACACCTAGACAGGAGGACGATTAGGGTCCTCAACGAAAACCTTTGGCCCAAAAACCTAACCGCAAGGCAGCGGTGTTTGGCGGGAAATGCCAATGCATTTCCATTTCTACGGAAAACGTCGCCGCATGTTCCAACCACCAACCTGAAGGACCAGGAGCCTGCGTTCGTCAAACCTCTAACAATCGACCAACCTGGTATAACAGAACCTGTGAGTGTCGCGGATACAACCCCAAGTATAGTTCAATGGGTCGCTGAGGTGCGAAAACCGTCATACCATGGTAAGGTCCAGTCTCTTCTCTCTCAAACGAAAACAAAAGATACTCCGAAATGAAAATTTAGGACCACACGGTCCGATCGTTCGACTTGCTCGACCGCCATACACTGGTAACAGAAAGAATTTAGAAAGCTGTTATCGTGAAGAAGCCCTGCAGGAGACGCGATTGTTGGTTTCTATGCCGACTCGCGTGACGATCACCTTTTCGTTTTCCCTCAACCGAGCCAAGTGGATGGAACTTAGACCTTACAGTACCTCGGCTGAACGAGTCCGCGCACCGATGATGTCTCCACGTTTGGTAACAAGACCATTGCAAGTTACTTGCCAAGGTCGGCGAATAGATGAACAGACATGTGATCAACAATCAATATCCCCACTGACTCGCTGGTCACTACACATTTTGTTGGACTGGTCCGCGTATTGTCCGGATAAACGGATCGTGGAAACCGCGTAAAAATACAACCCACAAAAGGAGATGAACAGTTGGATGGCAATTTTGGACTTCCTGTAGACTGCCGGAAAAAAATTGTGTACAAGTCGGGCGAAGGAATGATACAACATCGTTAGTTCAAAAGAAAGGATGTGAAAACTTGAATCGTGACTGTTAACGCCGCGCCGCACCAGCCTGGTGCCAGAAAAGAACCCATCGACAATTGTACACAACAGCTTTATTCCAAACAAGCGAGTAAGTGCGTGCCAGTGCAAAAGTTACAACGACCCCACGCTATTTAAGGAACCGTTCTGACAGTGATTCAGACTGTCTGGTAGGCGTTCAGTGAACATCCATCAACATCGATCGTGCTTCTGTGAAATGTCTGAACGCTGATCACGTTCGGTCGTGCTTCTGTGGCATGCTTGAACACTCATCGGCTTTTGCTGACTTGGTTAAGTAATTGACTGGTCTGGATGCTTGCCGGCTTTCCTTTTGAGATTTTGGTGGAGTTTTAGGGTCCCAGTAGGTTCCGGACTATTCAACAGCCTACGACGAGTCTTTTTCAGTCTGAGACTTATCAGATAGGTGCAGCCCATCTAAACGATGCGCTCTAATATGTCACACGTCGACCCTTTGTGCGATAAATTCTGCTGGAGAATAGCGTAAACGAGTGATTCGGTTGAATCAGCCAAATTAGTGTAAAAATTAAAAAAAAACGTTCAGCTGTAGCACCCTTTCAGTGCCTAGCTGCCATGCCACACGAGGGAAGCACGAGGGCTGGGATACTGCCAGGCTGCCCAAGCCTAGACAGGAGAAGTCTAGACACCGAGGTCGGGTTCGAACCAAGGAATCACCGCTCAGTAAATTCGCACTCTAACCACTTGGTACACCTCGCCAAATTAGTATACAAGTGAGTGTAGTTCACGAATCGCATTCAATTAAGATTGGAGTTGAACATAAGGTGGATAGAAACTCAGAGACTGCATCTACCTGATGAACCATCAGAAGGGCGAAACAGACCATGGGTTGCCGAGGAGTATTCAGCATCATATGAGTAGGATGTGCCGTCTAAACGAACTAAAAACGATGAGTTCGGGGTTTGTGCGGTTGATCCCAAGTTGTACGATCGGCTGAGCAAAAAATGTAAACAGATAAAAGGAATAAACGGGTATCTCAACCGGATTTTGTACACCATAATGACTGTTGATTTGGGTACCTCGAATTTCGACACACGTTTGACAGTCGGGGTTGTTGTACAAAGAGAACATCGGCGGTTCTCGGCTCTACAGATCAAGTCCAAATACTCTATCAAGGATGGCACTGACCACTCGATGTTGTTTCCAGTTTGTAAACAGCACTGCGTCGTGTAGCGCAAACAGTTGGGTGGGCGTGCGACAAATCACGGCGAAAACAACAGAGCTCAAACAGAATAGGGCCACAAACCGAAACGATTCAAAATACAGAGGCACTGGCACCACCGATTACAAGCAGGGCCGGTTTTGGTGCATATCCAAAGGAAAAGCTCTCAATTCACGCCGTAATCAGGCTATACAACGGGGCCAAAAGGGCAGACAGCCAGGAAAATTCATCAAGGGACAAGCACCACTAGCACTGAGAGTTAAAAGCATATTTTCAGGAAATCGAGTTTGTATGGTGAGCCGGATAGAGCGATTGTCAAGTAGAGATACACTGCATTCCATCGGTACCGCCTGAACATAATTTCATTGGCTTCAGGCTTTCTTGGCCTCGACGAATGAGTTTTTCCTGATCGCTGCACAATATTTGAATGCTAGCTTTTTTCGATCAAGTGAATGTTCTGTCAGACTGCCATTGGATATGTATTTCACAGCCTGTGTGCAAGTGCACCACGAACTGACGTAAAATGAAGTCAGAACCAGGTGCGGTAAAAAGAATACTACCTGGCAGCAGGAGGCACCTGGACTCAGTGAACTGACAGGTGACAAGGGTGACGTCACCCATGAGTTTTTCCAACTTCTCTGAAAGCAAAAGCCTCACGGAAGGTTGGGCACCGGAAGAAATGAGATATACACAGTTGCATTCACCTCTGGTGAAGAGGTAAGTTGTTCCGGTGAAAACAGGTGGTGGTGTTTAAAAATTTTTTTCAGAGAACAGGTTTCAGACAACTAACTGTTGACGCTTGAAACATATATGACAATATCACACATGATAAGAACTCATTTCAAAATCACTGCTCTTACTTGTGAAAGACGATCACACTCTTCAAAATCCTTCAAACTTGAGAGTTTCAGGTTGAAGTTCGACTTGCGAACTTGCGGATCCACTACAGGAAAGTGGAGAACATCTGAGGTGAGAGTATGCTTTCTGTAGCTAGCGAGGCCATTGATCGCAACCCATTTCTCGATAGGACTCATCTGTGAAACCGGCAATTCGCCTCTGACAAGCGAAGGCCCGATCGAGTTCAAAAGATGCATTGCCTGTCGTGAATGAGTAAAACGTTTTGTGCAAATAACGGCAATGTGAAGCAGGATGAGGCAGTGAAACATGTTGTGGAAGACTTGGCCTGAATTTTATTAAGGCTGGTAAACCGTTTTCAAAAAAAAGCAAACTAAAGCTTACATTTCAAGAGACCAGATACGGAAAAACCCCCTAGACAGTGGCCACCTCCTTGGTGGATACTTCCGGTTGAGTTACTGGTTACCACAGCGATTTGTGTTCACAAATATGCTGGCTATGTTAGAGACAAGGATAGAGCTAGAAATATCATAAGTAATCGATGCGGCTCAAGCTGTTAGCTGACAGGTTTCGAGTCACGTAAACCAAAAGTTCTAGGATTTCCGCTGACTCAGCGACAGAGCAGTCATCATCATCATCAGAGACAGTAATACCAGTGTTGACAACGATGCTTCACTGCCGTACAACCATAAAGCTCATCTAATTATACTTAAAGCCTTAGAGTGAAAAAGAAGGAATGAGTAGGTGAGGAAGGGGACCTGGTGCTGACCTATGTCAAGCATTCTGAGATGCCTCCAAGCGCCCAATCAGACAATCTAGAAAGAAACTGACAGCACGAACGCCGCTGACACTAACCAGCCGCCAGTTCTTGCAATGTATCTAGCTAGATGCAGGCGGCGTCACGGGCACCCACCCCGGAAGGTGTACAACACCCTAACTCTTCGTGATCTCTTTCAAGCAAGTCTTCCAATTCAAACGTTGTTCACCTCGCGGTTTGCAACATTCTGAAGGAGTCACGAGGAACAACACTCGTTTCGGTAGACGGTGTCTCTGCATGCGTAGCACATGACTGAGCCACCGAAGTTGATGGTGTTGGATGTTCTTTCTGTAGATCATCATCATCATTGTCGGCTGTAATAACCGCGTATTCGTCGTACAGTGGTTGTAGCTGCCGCAGTTTCGTTCACCGATGATTTGTGAGGAAAGTTAGGTAGCTGCGCATTGCAAGCGAGAGATGATAAATTGGTGCATAAATCCCGCACTGCCAGTGGGCTGCCAAGTGAGGGGATTGGGAAGAGAGCTATGCAGTGAAGGCAATAGCTTGGATGCACGAGCGCCATCGAGGGCGTGACTGGACCATGTCTGACAATGTCTCTAACCAATGATGTGGACCGTCTCGGGGTCCCCATCCAGGAAGACGGCAATGACCAGCGCAGCTGAGTTTACTGGTCCGTTGACGCCATCCAAAGCCAGCAACACTTCTGAAGCATCTGAAGACGCCTCGCATTATCTGTCAACATAGACCACGGACAGATGATGCGAGGCGACAAAACAGTGGGTTTTGATGATCACCGAAAAGCAAGGTTTAATTACTACGTTTTCAAGAAATACGCTGATTTGCAAATCAATTTGGTTTTCAGGAGAGACTCACCTGAATGTGCTGCACACAGGCCGCCTCATGTTTCAGTTGGTACGATATTTGAGATATCGCAGTATATTTTCATTAAGGAGTGTAGTTCTCGAAAACAGTGCAATTTGAGTCCAAGTAGAACATGAGGTTGATGGAAACTCGGGGACTGCGTCTACCTGATGAACCCCAAGAAGGGCGAAACCGGTCGTGGGCTGTCGGAGTTTTCAGCAACCTTGTGAGTAGTTTCCTTCATGAAAATATACTACGTTTTCTGTCAAAGTGTCTCAGTATGTCGTGACAAATCAATACGTATCTATACCTCGGAAATGATCTCTTGTCTACCTGCAATGACTAAGATGACGAAGGTTAATGACCACTATACACGTTACACCGTCACGGATAGGTAAAGCCATCAAATAACTGACAAAGAACTGGTTGGAACGAATTGGTGGGCTCGGCCCAAAACACACCGATGATCCCCGCGCCGGAAGAATAATGCCACAATCGGCTTGTGTGGCACGGCCACATGAGCGTGTCCGGGGTGCTCAGCACGATGCAATCTGGTGGCTGAACATGTGATGACGACAAATATAAGCAAAATGTGAGAATTGATCAGAATCGATCAGTCCGTAGTTAAGACGAAATTTTTGGCAATTAACAGTTCGTTCTGGTAACACGGTGTCAACCAGGTAATTTTAGACCGGGAGGGATGGAGCAAGAAACATCATCACGCCTGACTGATAGCTCCCAACTAACAGATCACTTGAGGACAACGAGACGGTTAAAATTCACGGTGAACAAGGTGGCTTCCATCGCTCACACCTGATGCACAAATATTCTGCCAACTAGTGTCAATCACCAACCAGTTTGATCCGTATAACGCGCTGGTCAGAAAGGACGTATCCCTGCTTTCGTATCCAACAGAATAATCTGGCATTCGTGATACTCTATCAAAATCTGATGTTTCAAATAAATTTTCAAACTATGCACTGTCCATGGGCATGGTACAACGTTGAGTGATAAATCACTCACTCACATGTGGAGGGCAGCGACCTCCGGAAAAGCGATGGGCGAAAGCGAATAGTCAGCAAAGCCCGGATAAATTTCAGCGTCACCGGTCATCCTATTTTAACGGAGAACCCTGGGATTATATCAACAAACTGGTCCGTTCTGAGGACATATCTGATAATCGTTAAGGCTCCAGAACGAGACCAGTGGACGAGACGCCACCCTCGATTACTTCACGTGTCCTCGAAGCTGGCCACTTTGTTTATATCACCTCAGCGTTCTCCATTCTAGTGCAAGTTAACCGATCGATAACAATGAAGTCCGTTCAGGCCTTATTGATTACTCGCTTCCGGTCATCCGGAAGTGTCTGCCAGACACGTAGCGCCTACTCCAGTTTATTTGGTCTATGTTACGTGTGTTGCGAACGACCAAGATGAAAAGGTTCAATCTGTCTTCTTTTTATTGTTACTATCTCAGTCTACACAGTACATTCGTATTGCACTTTCCCCGGTGTTTTCTCGTAACCAGCTTTCGATCAACTTAACCCTCCCATCTGTCACTTGGCCTCACGTGATCTTTTCACCATGACTATGTACTTCAAAAGGCTGTTTCCAGATAACAGCTGTTATATCAGGTTTGCGCCTAAAAGCACAGGAGTAACTGCTGAGTCTTGATCGAAACGTCAATGAGCAATACATCTCACAATACAACCTTGACTACCGTCAAATGCATCCGGAAACTGTTCAACCTGCAGCAGATATTGAGTGGAGTGTTTGGACCGTGTTGCAACCATAGTTGATACACGTGTACACATGTGACACCTCACTCTTTATCACGTGATGGTGAACTTTAGATTTCAGCTGATGGTTAGCATTTGATCGTATCCAGATGAACAATGGATGCTGACTATCCGTCAGATAACCACACGTCAGTTTCTCTTGTAAATACAAAGCACGATAGACGTGAATGTTCGATCTTTGCCAGTAAATGTTTGTTTAATAACCGTCGTATTCTAAAATGCAGGGCGAAAAGGCAGCTTTGCCCGAAATCGCCATTTAGGAGGGAAATCATTCGAAAAAAGATCACAGAAATCACAAATGAGTTAAAGCGAAGTAGTGTGTACCATGAGGTAAGGGTTCAGCGTGAAAAGGAGGCACCTGCATACCAGTATGCGCTGAAAACAAGGTATGACCAGCATATGACTAAAACGAAGTAACCCGAAAGTACCTGCTTGCTACAAATTCAATAGTCAAACGTAGGAACATAAGGTTGACGGGCACTGCGCCTACCTGATGAGCCCCAAGAAGGGCGAAACCGGTCATGGGCTGTGGAGGAATTTTTAGCAACCTTGTGAGTAGTTTCCTTTAGGGAAAACCTCTTCAGAACTAGGTTTAGTGCCATGTAGGGGGGGGCTGGGAGACCAGAAGGAATTGTGGCCTAAAATGCGAGCTCTCATGTCCAAGCGGATCGGTTGAGGAGTTGCTGCTGTTGGACTTTGTTACCCCAGAAAATTTGATTGGTATCTCCGGTGCTGTGACTGCAGCGCGTACGTTAAAAGTGCCATTGACAGACGAACTGACGTCAAGCCGGGGCCAGAGGTGTCAGATTTTGATCAAATCTGCCCTGGATTCGCCGATTAGAGAAGTAATCGCGTCTTCAGCCAGAACTTATACAACTACCCAGTTGATCAAACTAACTTACCAGGCCCATTGGTTGATCTGGAAGCACGGTGTTTGGGTCTGACCCCACATTCAGTCTTGTAACGGAACTTTACAGTTTGCACGTGTGAAGTACATATCAAAGACTGCGGCAGAATTAAAATGGGTTGGACCATTCAAGAAACGGAACCGAGCATATCAATATCATCCGCGACCTAACGCCCCGGTAGCACATCGATCTCCGGGGTTTCTTTAGAAACATCCCGAAAGAAACTGGATTTGTGTCACAAAACGAGGCGAAGAGAATCGTTAGGCGAGCAGAATCTCCGAAAATTAAGGGACGAAATAGGTTCGCCGGGTCACAATGGGAAAAAACCACCAATTGGTTGGCATACACCAAAACTCTGTGAACGAATAATGACGAAACGTGCATTTATTGCCTGTTCGCCAGGCTGGAAAGCCCAGTTCATGAAGGCCATATTTGTGCTGGACAAAGGCAAATATTTTGATGAAAATTAAATGAGCTTATAAAATCACATCTAGAAGTGGCTGGACAAGACTGCATAGAACCGTAAAAAACACAGAAATGTACTATTCGTTTCAGGATACTTGACTAACTCGTCTAGTGACGTTAGCTAGCCAAAACCGTTTCGCTACTAGTGACAGAATCAATCAGAATGGCACAGACAACAAAGATCCAATCCGAAAGGGAACTACTCACAAGGTTGCTGAAAACTCTTTGACAGCCCACTACGGATTTCGCCCTTCTTGGGGCTCATCAGGTAGGCGCAGTCCCCGAGTTTCAATCGACCTTACGCTCTCCTTGAACCCAGGTTTCGACAAATACACTTATTTGCATATCAACTGGGTTACTTACGGGAGACAGCTGAATCTCTCGTTGGTTATATTCTTCAGCTGAATGTGCTGCACAAGGGCTGTCTCATGTTTCAGTAGGTTAGATATTCGATAAATCGCAGTAAATTTCATAAAGGAAACTACTCACGACGCTGCTGTCAAAGAGTTTTCAGCAACCTTGTGAGTAGTTTCCTTTGTGATAGTATACTGCAATATCTCGAATATCGTATGAAATGAAACGAGGCCTTCTTTGTGCAGCAGATTCGGTCGAAGAGTATCATGAACGAGAGATTCGTTTGAGTCTCCCGTGAAAACCCAGTTGATATGCAAATGAGCGTATTTATAAATATCTGTTCAGTCCAACGGGTGGAAACTTCAAGGCTGAGGGATATGCAGTTCCCTGAAGCAGCACCAAATGATTCTACCCCCGAAAAAAGTAGCTTTGAAAGGCAATCTCAAGTTTCTGCGGTAGTCGAGATATCGCATAACATTGTCAAGAAAGCCGTGAGCTGTCCAAAAAACTCCCGGCAAATTATGAGTAGTGTGTTACGTCTAGACAATCCATTCCCATTCTCGTTTCTGTGGCGCTCGTGCATCCAAGCTATTGCCCTTAATACATAGTTTCCTTCCCAATTCCCACACTTGACAGTCTATGGACAGTCCTGTATTTACGAACCCATTTTTCAGACTCGGCCACCAATGCGTAGTTACTTACCCCAGCTCCCTAAATCATCTATGAACGTAACGGTGGCAGCTACCACCACTCTATGACAGGTATGCGATTCTTACAGCCGATAATGGTGATGATAAAGGGTCATTCAGCTATCACAACATCGGTCCACTGGGTGTGTGAGCTTCAGAATGCTGCTTTTGCTACTGAATTGCCTGCCTAGCCCGGGAAATGCATTGGTCAGTGATTCAAACACTCACTGACGTTGAAGAAATCACTCACGTATAAATTGCTTTCAGTGGGAGTTCTAACCAACATCCTAGTTAATCTGTTGTCTATGATGATCCTCAACCAATTCTGAGGTGCGTGTAAGTTCCTTTGTGTCGACAAGCAGTGCGACAAAGTACTTTCTCCTTACGAGACATAAGGCCTGTGTTAGATAACATCGCAAAGAAAACTGTTCTGAGGCGAATTCAACAGAGGGTTTTCCCACGTCAGTTCATTAGAAGTATTCACGTATCGTAACCAACAAACAGACTGACTATTGATGGCCACAGGAGTGAACTTTTCTAAGTCTGCAGTCTAAGTGAACTATCCCCTGTCAGCGATGAGACCAAGGATCCACAAGGACATTGGTTGTTGCAGAAGGTAATGAATATCTACAGGGTGCACTTTTGACATCCCATGGAATAACTTAAGCTATTGCAGTCGTGCACACGACAATATATCACACGAAAGTGCAGTTCTATGGCAAACAGTCTTCTTCTACAGAGTGCGCGTACAAACATACCGGTGCCTATCCGGGTTATACTCCAATCAATCAATCAATCAATCTAAATGAGACAGATACTGGTGCCAGTTTCGTTAAAAGTCCAATGGTCAAAACGTCGTCAGCTAAACTAGAAGGCAGGAGAAACCCAGCACCAGAACTAACAGTGGACCGAGAAACAGCTCAACCTGAATATGTGTGGCAGTTTTCACTTGTACATTCAACTGATATGCTGTCTGCGATTAGCGGCATCAATGGAGATATTGCCGTAGAGCAAGCAGCGTAACAGTTGACGCGGAAAACGCTACCATCGTTCGGTCCAACATTGCGCTTCGAGTCGTTAAAACTGCATCTGTTTCTGCTATCCATATCTATAAAAACTGTGCAGAGAATTGTTCAACCAAAAGATTGAAAATTTGTCGCTCCCTGAAAAGAGAGTTCGCTCTCGGGAAAATCGTGGCTGACCAACCGGTATCTTGATACACAGCTTAACACAGACGTTCAAATCTCCTTCCAGGACACCATATATGCACTTGTAGTCGGTGCACTGTTGGTAAACTGTGTGAAGCTACATAGTTCCGGATTAATCACGTGATACTGGTTTTGAAATAACTTGTCAGTAGGTTGATCAATGTAATCAGAAGACCAGAATGAATCGATACCATGGCCGCAGAGGTAACGCATGCAAAGTCGATTGAATGTATTAGGCTCCCGGTTGCCTTCAGCTGTGGGATATGACATCATCTGTACAGTCACATGCAAGGTTCTGCGATCAACCGCCGAACAANTTCTACCATTATAAGAAAAAGCACGTCCCCGGATATCTATCGGGCGTGCAGTCTCATTCCCCTAAAATGACTTTGGGAGAGATTGGACCGGAAAAAGACTGCTCTTGGAGTCGATTCAGACCAGAGATCGAAATTGTGGATACATACTTAATAAGTAGGCTGTTGAAACCAAGTTCATGTATCCGTGGTCTGACCTTTGGCCCTATAGTATCTGCTAACCAAGCGACTAGTCATTTGTGATCGTTGTCCCTGCAAGTTCATCTGATTGGTTGCCGACAGATGTCCTTGGCAAATGACTTGTCGAATTTACACCGATCGTCACGTGTCAGAGTAGCACAACCCTTTAGAAGTGCTAGTAGCTTGAGGAAGCAGAAACGTCGAACGCGATCATGACTTAAATGCGACGAGTCAGACCGCGTGAAACACCCGAAGGCACACTGTATGTGAAGTGACGTATTCACATTTACTCAGAGAGCGACTGTGCAGTACAAAGTGACTTTAGAGGAAGCCCGCTGTAACCTTTTCGTACTAGAGACCTTCTATGAGCCGAGCGAATTCAGTCCTTATAGAGAAGTCGGTTGTATTACGAACGGGCGAAAAGCTGAACTCCTGCGAGTCCCGTGCGTAATTACAGGGTGTGGTTAATCAGAAGGACCACTGTGCTGAATAATAAGTCTCCTTTTTGAAGACGTCCTCTCCGGTACGAATATTTGTCAGTGCTCGTCAGCTGCGTTGTTCCTTTACTCGCAACGCAGTTATCCCTTGGCTACAACCAATTTATCCGTTTTTAGCACCATCACAGAGCGGGAGTGTTATGTAGCCTAACGAGTGGACATTGTGGGTTGGCACATAAGAGGCGTAACGGCATGTACTACTGGTGAGGCGTCCGAGTAGTACATGATCCTATGTCCAAGCTCCGCCCCCACACCTGATGGAAGGTGAAGTTTGTTAGGGATATTAGGGGAACCACTTTTCAGTGTTCGTTTAGCATTTTTTTAACAGTCAATGAATGTCCAGGAGATTTCAAGAGGATGCGTGAGAACGTGCAGTTTTTAAAAACTCTGTGCAGATGAGATGTTTACTTCCGCGTAACTACTTAGTTCGGATTTGCCGATAATTAAATTCACAGTGAGGCTTTCCTCCTTGGTAATCCGCGGCATACGCCTCGAACCAAAGCGCAGGAAATGAGAATGATGCGACGGTGAGACGAAGTGTTTATCCACCTCTTCGCTAGTTATTCTGAATGCAACTGCGCGAAGCCAGGTAGTCTCCATTACCTCAATGGGCCATTGTACGGGCACAAAACTGACTGACTGTAGAACATGAAAGGATAAAAATAATGACCACTTTAATTCGACATCCATACGCACCAGTTAAACTGGTTGAATTACGATGGAACAACCTAAAAGTATGTATCGAGGTGAAGGCCTCAACGTTTCGGTCACGGCTGATGAGTTTTATCGAGAAAAGAATGGTCAGAACTGCGACCATGCCACTTCCGAAATTCATCCGTAGTGACGGAAAAATCACACACACACACATTGCGTTCAATCTGGCTCACACTGAAGTTGGTGCAGCCATTCCTACACACTGGTTAAATTTTCAAAACGTTGGCGAAATGACAAGAGCAACAGAGATCTGTCTCTGTAATGCACTACTCATAAGGTTCCTGAAAACTCCTCGAGAGCCAATGACCGGTTTCGCCCTTCTTGGGGCTCACCAGGTAGGCGCAGTCCCCGAGTTTTCGTCAACCTTACGTTCTACTTGAAAACAAATTGTACGAAATTGGCGAATATACACTCATTTGCAAACTAATTTGGTTTTTCGAGAGACTCACCTGGAACCGAGCTGAATTTCTTGGTTTTGATGTCTTCAGATCTTTTTCATTCTTCGACAGATATGTGGACTCAATACTGAGTAGAATTAAGTGCAAAACCGTGTGTGCCACTCTTAGCCTCGGGTTTGTAAATGAAAGTCTTGAATGGGCTGGACCACGTATGAGCAGGCTAAGGTGTTCACGTTCGAAAGATGTGATCGATATTGCCACAGCCTCGAACAACAACAGTCATCAGTGTCTTGATCGACTTATCCGCCGGTCAATACTTTCCCGTTACGAGGCACCAAGGACACTGGACACTTTATGGACAGCTGTAGAAAGCTGTAGACTCTACATAACTTGTATTGCCATCATATTCTGTTATAAACGAATCTCGTCTTGTCCTGGAGAAATTATTACGTTTTGTTCAAACAAAGGAGGCAAACTGGAGCATAGCTCATTGCTACCTCGGTTTGAATAAATAGGAATAACTGCGCCAGGAGAAGAGAGGATCGATCAAACGAGATTAATGGGAACACGACATCATCCACCAGTTGGTCGAAATATGTGCGTTCATATCTAACGGTTTAACTTAATCTGATCACATGCGAAGGGAAAACGGCACATCGGCGCGACTGGCAAAACTCGCTAGAAGGAGGGGGTTGTGAAAAATGGAAACAGTCACACGAAAACCTACTTTGCAATCGGAATGACCACAAACAATGAGTTCGTTCACTTTGCCCCGTACGCAAGCCAAGTCTAGAGTGCCAAGCACAGTACAAATCGATTCTGAAGGTGGTTCCCCACAGGGGACAAAGTTTCCCGCGTTTCTGATTGTAAACATTTGTCCAGGCTGAGAACACAGGAACTTGGTAGGAGAGACGCGGGGGTCCACACAAGATATGACCACAGCGCATACCTACAGGTCCAATTAGGACGGAAAATGACGGATACATTGGGGAGGGATTTCAACTGATTGAGAAATTGCGCTCGTTGTCCAGTTTGAGTGAATACAAGCGCGCGTTGTAGCAACAGTTCCATTCCAAATGAAAGCAGTCGCTAGGACGGTCAATAACGGCCCAGCTGGCTGGTTAAAACAGTGGAATCAACGCTTGACGGAGTTGAAGCTAAAATGTGAAATCGGAATAAAGATACAGTGCAGTGATAACGTGAAACGCAGAAACGCTTCAGAGAGAAACTGGGTTGTTCTCTTTCGAGTGTCAATGGAAACAGATAGCCGAGCAGACAAACGACAAAGTGGTCGGAATGAATGAGGTTTTTTGTGGGATACCGGCACTGCTTAAACTGCGAGTATTTATAAGGGCGAACCTATGTAATGAAAATGGCAGAACAGAAGAAAAAAAATTCATGTACTGGCTAGCTAGCTACAAGTATTAGTTACATCCGCCCTTCTGAATGTCGCCTCAGATAATCTGGGTATAGGATGAGTAACACTGATTGGTAGCCATATCGTGCCGAGCACAGAAAAGTCCCATAGGGTGGATCATACCGACGAGTTCACAGACATATCCGTTGATGAAAATAGGCCTCCAAGCAGTGAAACAGTGATTAAGAATCGACCGTTCAAAGCTAACTCGCAGGACGGTCCAAACCAATCGGTTCGGTATCGGTTGGCGAACACTGGTGCCAGATACGCATAGCGGTGTAATTATGCGATGTTTGTTGCTGTTGTACAGTAGCCAGAACACTACCAGAGTACTGTTTGCTACAATGCAAAGCTGCCATAAAACTCGAAGGTACGAGAGTTGAAATACTTCCAGGCTATCCAAGTAATTACTGCAGTAAGGGAAAAACCGGTACCGAGTTCGAAACTCGGACCATTCTAACTCTAGCTTCGCGCCTCAAATGCTGAGGCAACTAGAACCTCGTTTGTGACGAACTCGTTTGTGATCGAACTCAGTGACGAATTGGCACAAAAAAAATCATTCAGACGTAGAACCCTTTTGGTGCCTAGCTGCCATGCCACCAGAAGGAAGCATGAGGGCTGGAATACTGCCAAGCAGGGGGAGTCAAGAGGCAGAAGTCAGGTTCAAACAACGGACTTTCCGGTCAGTAGATTCGCGCTCTAATCACTGAGCACAGCCTCGATATCGACTAATTAAAGATGTAGCTTCCTCACAAGATTTCCAGAAAGTTTACCGACCGTTACTAATTCAATAGCCACCCTGACAATGACACCACTGACGACGCCATCAACCACCCTCCCTCTTGGATTATTCATGAGTTACAAGAGTGTATATACTCACGATCTGTCATGCCGACAAGACGTCGCATACGGATTTTGGGAAGACTAGCAACCAATAAGGAGTTAAATAGCAGGCTCAAATTCATTCTCATTGACTTAAATAACGAGTGTTGAGTCTGACGTTGGAAGTCATCCACGATGTTTTTAGTAGGCTCCGGTGTGACAAAATTAACAGTGGGGAAGTTGTCCTCTTCCCACGTCAAAGCAAAAACAGTTCGACGTAGTTGTGGGCGAAACTTCAGCACACAATATCAAAACCCTTGGACATACGAAAAGAGAAATCACCATAGCCACTATCATCATGTGAAGCAACACCAGAGGAGAACACTGGTGCTTCGCTGTCCAATGTCGATTTATTCCAATATAACCTTGTCTTGGAAAATAGAGCGAATGGATGAGGGAGGGGACCTAACATCCAACCACGAACACCCGAGGTGCCCCCGCCATCAACACTCAATCAGACAATCTAGATGGAAATAGATAGCATGAAAAGTCCCTAATACAGGTTAGCTACCATGTCGTTCAGTGTCCACAGCCAAACACAAGGACAGTCACGTGGACCCTCTCCTTGAAGGTGACCATCATCAACAGTATCCAGACGTTCCGTGACATTTTTCATCATTTCCAGCCATAAAAAATCCTACCCACCTCTAGGTTTCCATCCCTCTACAGTAGGCGCAGAAGACAGCGCTCGTCTTGGCTGGCGGTGACTCGACATCATCAGTGACGTTTGCTTGTGTGGTGGGAGGGGGTTTGGGAGGGACATGCGCAACACATGGCCCAGTTGTCTTACATTGAACTTCCAGATACGTTTTTTGAGTGAAGTACCGCCTGCTTCATAAAGTTCGTCTCGTGATCACATCATTCCGAAATTGTTGATCACACCCGACTCCAGCTATCGACATCATGTAACGATGATGTCTCGACTATATAAAGGGAATCGTCTGGAATAACGGAATCCGGAGTGGAGTGATCAAAAGGGGTGTGTGGGAACGTAGATAACTGAGGTTTGAGCGCAAAGTACTCACACGTACATGGTTTGCTGCTACATGGAAGTAAGTCTTTACGTCCACATATTAAGATATAACAGATTCTGAATCACTAGCTTCAATTGTTGCTACAGCTGCTAATTGTCTACCACTGTCCACGAGTACTGCCCGCGTACTTCATAGCTAAGACAACCTTCGCACATTTCTTACCATTGATATTGATGTCCCACGATCTCCTCCGGCCGTACGCCTCGGCGAGATCATGCTGCAGCTCTTTCTAGTTACTTTGGGTGCCAAATACCATAATGGGCAAAGAGAAAAGATTCATTTCTACTTCGACGATGTTGACCATTGATGCCGAGAGAAAGCAACAGGAGTCGCGATACTAACCGTTTCTGAAATCCACTGCCTTCTGTAGCCGTGCGTAGTAGAACATCTACACACGAGACCTGAGAGTTTCGTTGCAAAAAAACTTCATGAATAATTGGATCAGGTCACTGATTTCATACTCTCCTAGGTTGGCGCCCAGAAACCGATGACTGAGCGAATCAAATGTTTCATGGTAGTTACGGTAACATGCTTCAATCGTCTGGACATGTAGAGGAGGATGCGACTGTTACATCTGACTGATGTTCCCGCCGGAAAGACTTACCGATAAGTAACACAACAGGTTTATTGCGAACAACCAACCGCGTGCAAGCGCAACACTTACAAGGAACCTCACGTTATTTGAATATCGCTTTCATCGATCCAGGCTGTTGCTGAATTGACTGAATGCTTGATTGACCTGGGTGATTGCCGGCCTTTCTATTGAGATTTCGGTGGCGTTTTATGGTTTCAGTAGGTTCCGAGCGTTCTGGGTTGTTTTCAGGAATCTGACCTTCGTGATAGCGACCATCTGAGGTCTGATGCGTCTCTAAGTTCATCATCTCACTCCTGTTTCAGCCGGTGTATTGACGAACTCACGCATTATACAGAAAGAATCAGAGACAGTCACTGAGTGTATAGGTTGGCGGTGGTCAGCTGGACGAAGGAATCCTTCCTGATACCACAACCGGGTTCGACGGTATTCAGGTATGTTCAGTCAGGTTCGACAGATCGTACACAATAATCTATTCTGGAACTTCCTAATGACCGGGTCTTGTTGAGACCAGGGAAACCAAAGTGCCTAGGTTTCTTCCTTTCCAATTTTCAGAGATCCCTACCGCTTCATCCTCATCTTAACGGCCTCTAGGTGCCTAGTTGCCAGCGGATCTGTCTTTACCTCTTCAAAGAAAGTGAGCACTAGTCCCGACAACTGCTGCCGGCGTATTCGTCACTACCACATAACCAAGTGTTTGCGGTGCGACGACTGATCTTGTTCGCAAGGCCAGAATTGTGCCGGCTGGTAGGTAGAGCAATACACCGAATCCCCAGAACCATCCAGTGGCTACCGGTGTATGATCAGCATCACAAAGGCCATCCACGGACACATAGCTCACATCCCCTTGGACCAAAGCCTTCAGCCTCCCTCTATGTCCCAATTCTCATAGCTAGAACCTGGACCCAAGCTCTTAACCAGGCATCTTCCAACTCACGTCCTTCCATCCAAATGGTGACCATCATCGAGTCTAGCAAGACATCTATCGCCAACTTGTCGAACGGAATAGCTACTTTCACGCAGTGGATCCCCCCGATGGAGGTTGGCATGGAGGTCGCCCTAACCAATCAGCCCACATTTCGCACCCCCAGGTAGGCTTGACCAAGCCTACAATGTAGAAAAGCCGCAATATTCCCCAACTTCTTGAGGTTCACCGACAAAGTTATCCTGAAATGTGCTTGCGCCAACTGCGCTAATGTCTCTCACCAGTGCATCAAATACCCATATTCCCCACATTTTATGTCTTACTCCAGAATGTGGCTTACCTCGGGAGCCAACGACATCTAGATACACCTGTGGAGATCCATAACCCCTTGTTTCGAGTCCCCCGTGGTCGGAGTAGTAGCATATGCATCTTTTCAGCCGACACCATGTTTCTGTCTTAAGTCATCATCATCATTTTCCCGCCTGCAATACCCAAGATCGTCTGCCACCCAAACTTTTGTTATTTCCTCCGGCTTACCACACGACTCAAAGGACAAGATCAGTCATGTGTCAAATTCACCTAGCGCTGTCCACCTTCACTGGACGAAAGGGCGTTTTCGAGACCAATGTGTTTCAATCAGCACCCATTTCTATATTCTAAGAATGAGGAATTTCAACCACCCATGAGTCAGTTTGGACAATCTTCCAGTCCGGCACTTCGGCTTTGTTCCTATTCGCTTGGATACAGCCACATGTCTAGGACGACATCGACACTCCCTCCATCAAACGAGTTCCCAGGCTCACCAACTGCCATCAACCCTGAACCACATCTTCCCGAGCGAACGCAGTGAGGTAGATAAGATTGCTATCTTTCCGCAATGGGTAATATTAACCACGGCATCTCCTCTGAGCTACTAGCACCCGGTTCTCTCAACCATCACGCTGTGGTGACTGCGCCAACTCCAGGAACTACTTAAGATCAGTCAACTGATCAGTCCTGAAGTGCCTCTTCCCAAATGACCTGGGAAAAGAAATAGTGTCCCACATTTTCGGCGCACTTAAAAGTTTCGTAACAACCTAAACTCCCCCTCACCTCTCGGAGATGGGCAAAAGTTCTCTGGTCGCATCCGCAGGCGGTTAACCTAGGACTCACTGCAATAGGGAAGTAAAAGTCTATCTCAGCCTAAATCATCATCATCATCACCACTGTGACACTCATGACCTAAGAATGCGTAGTTTTCAGTAGGCTACCCACGTCTGCGGTAGACTGGCTACAACCGATTTCTTCCCCATGAACTCCAGTAAAAACAACTATATACAAACACTCAAAACGTGGCTCTCATTCCCCCTCGCTCGTACAAGACGAGACCGTCTCTATTCACGCGGCTTCCGAAGGGAATGAATTTGGGCTTCGTTTAACTCTAATTTTTCCGCTTCGGCGATCCTTCGAGCCTCAAAGAGAGCTGTCAGACTGGTCAAACCCTTCTGTAGAAATTACCCAATGATGATGAGCAGAAACTGATCATGCTTTATTCCAGACTTATTCACCCCTGGCTAGAATATTGAAGAGATGGCTCAATTGGTTAGAGCGCAAATTTACTGACCGGAAGGTTCATGGTTCGGATCCGACCTCTGCCTCTCCACTTCCCCTGTCTAGGCTTGGGCAGCCTGGCATTATCCCAGCCCTCGTTCTTCCTTCAGGTTGCATGGCAGCTACGGATCGAGAGAACGTTACAGCCGAATGATTATTTATTATTTAGAATACTGCAGACTTGTGCGGCTTTCATGTCTGGCGATTTGCACAGACTCGCAAAATTAGGGCGTAAAGTTACCAAAAACTTTTGCTATGCTCTGAAGGTTTCGTTACGCCGAACGACCCTTGTGCCTAAGTGTTTCTTGTGACATACCAAAACGGGTATTGGATCTGTTTTACTCCCGGGTTCAGAAACATCGTTCATCCTTTCTCACAACAACCCACTAAGTGAATTTTCCAAACTATTCCTGAACAAATACACAATTCGACCTACGAGAACCTTCTTCCCCTCCGTAGTTCTTACAGTCCGGAAAGAACTCTTAAACGAGATGAATGGCGTCCTCCCTCACTGCCTCTAAGTCTGTATCTACCGCCTTCTTTCCAAAATAAAACCCGTGGATTCATCGGTATCAATGCATTGTGGAAAGCAGAAGAAATATTCTTCGTCAGATTCTTTGCGTTCAGTTCTTCTCAGGGACAATGCGTGTTTTTGCAAAAAGATACACCCACAAGGGACCGATAGAGCTGTACCAAAAAGAGCGTCATTCCAGAGCGCTCAAATGATGGCATCTCAAAATATGTTCGAATCACTTCTCTGACTGCGCAATGACAACGGGCTCGGGTAGACCGTTCCAGTAATTCACTACCCAGGTGGACAAAATGACATTGGAACAGATCCCAAAAGTCCATCGGTTTGAGGCCCTCAGCTGCGACTGAATACTTAACTATCCACGTTGAACTGAAACACTACTGCAGCTCAACCCTAGCACTCTCCCTGAACTGCGTCAAATGTATATCCAAACTCCACGACGACGTCGACAGCCCAGGAAAAATAGGTTCACGTTCCAGAAACACAGCGGTCCAGCAACGCGAAAACAGATTTTGATCCACGTCTTTGAACCTCCTCCACTAGGTCCCATCCATATTTTGTGATAGGATAGATAGCCGTTAGGCAATACTAAAGGGTAGTTTCGCAGGACGCAAACGACAGCCCGAAAACCTCCAGAATTATGCAAGAGGGTGTTTGTTTTATTATGAAGAATGTTCTGTTGGCGGCAGCGTCCTTCTTCAATGCGGTCCGGTTTTAAGGTCAAACGATCTCGAAGTAACTTTTTGTCACGGACATTTGAGCGACAGTCATGGATGAGTAGTTGCGACTACGAGGGGAAGAAACGCTTTCTCTGGCTTTGTGCTGAATGTCTTTAAGAATTCTTCACTGCATCTCAGTCTTGGAAGCCAGACAGTACTATAATATTCTTGTAATGGACGTGTTAACGTGGAATAAAGCACGGTCAAAATATGCACGTGTTAATTGGGAAAAGTGCCCCAAAAAGAGTGGACTCTTTCAAACGAGCACAGTGCTATCCATAAGGTCATCAAGACCCCTAGATCCTTGCGGTAACTAACGTTTGGGATAGGTGATAGTTTTGATAGGTGAAATGTAAGTGTGAGAGCAGGTTTCATATGGAGTTGGACGCAACTGAATGACGTCTTGTGGAACAGATGAACCGCCAGACCATATATTCAGGCCGTAAGCATACAGAAGAGCCTTACTGCCCCGTTGAAGAATAGCACAAGGACGAACGAAATGGTTGGTGGATAAATAAGAATGAGCCGGCGAGATGAATGTTAGCGAATCCCCAACTCTCTCCAACAATGTTTATGATTACATTTGGGCTGAGATACAATCGAGGGACTCAAACATGGACAGGGGGACGATTAGGGTCCTCAACCAAATCTTTTTACTAAAAAGCTTGACCGCAAGACAGCCATGGATGGCTCAATATTACGTGAGTAGCTACACCTGTCCCAACCCCAATCTGGAGGGCCAGGTGTTTATCGGGCCTTTATTCATTAACCAACCTTGTAGAAGGGACTCGCGAATGGTGCATTGCTGAGGTCGCACTACGACTACGTCAAGTCCCTTCAGAACAGATGAACATCGTATGAACATCGTATGAGGTTTTTGTCTCATACGAAGGAGCTCAAAAATGTGACCAATAGGGATGTTGTCATCCTGACATTTTAACGTCAGAAAATGCGTTAAGTCAAAGAGGGTAGAACGTAAGGAAACAAAAGCCGGGCGAAGTTGGGTGGAAGAGACTGTCAGATAGGGGAATATGGGGAAAGACATCTCCATGACTTTTCCACAAGCTTGCAAGGGATACACGTAAAGCCAATAGGGCGATATTTGGATGAGTAGTGACGTTATCCTTCTATGTAAATAAGAAGGACAGTGGTTGCTTTCCACGTAATCAAAAGAGTTCCGGAGGTAAAGGATGAAGAAACTAGCGGCTGCTATGGGAGTAAGGGCACGCATTTTTTTGGAGACCTTGGGATGATTACTGCTCAAGCCGAAGGAACTGCTAGAGTTAAGGTGAACGGTTTCATAGTATCTTCCATTGGAAATGCTCTGTTTTCGATTAAGTAATCTACGGAAAAGATCTGCGTACTTGTTTGTCCAGTTGGACAGTGAATAAAAGTGGAGATGTAATGACTCGCGATGTAATGATTCGTGGGACCGTAGTGGCAGTTCTTGCTCAAGTTTATCAAGTTTGTAGGTGGTTGCAGGCCATCCAGTTGACAGGGTTCTAGCGATTTCTCGTGCCAAAATGGTCTCCCAGATGGTATTACATATGGATGCGCTGCCAGTATCAGAGATTCCATAAGAGTACAGTGTGGTTATCCTTACCTATAAAGATTATAAAATGGCTAGTGAGTGTTAGCCTCTCCGAGCACAAGATATGGAGGGGTGTTGATGTCATCTTGGTGAAGCGGACTCCTCTGGAAGTATAGGAGCTTGAGCGGAGTTGGAGACTGACAGAGCGTTTCATATGACCGGTAGACAGGTAGGTCCTCCTAAAATCATAATGAATGCTTACTACCAGGTAATGAGTGTAATATCGGATCAAGGTTATTTGTCATCAGGAAAGGTTATCAGAGAGGGTGTCTACACGGTTAAAGTACGAACAGGTGTGAATGTCTCATATTATTGGTGATAATAGCTTCAAAGGGAGTAGATGGCCTTCAGAGACTTCCGATTCAAAACTAGGATAATGACATCTGAGAGTCGTTCGACACCTAATAAGAGCTCTGTGGGTGAAGAGGGGTCAAGTAGTAAACGTGTGGCTAAAGCGTCTTTACTGAAGAAGTGATATGAGCCGCTTTAATATCGCAGTGGAGAGGAAATAGGGTGGCAAGGAGTTTCCAAGTAGTAGTCAAAGATTTTTCCGGGGAGTGGAAGGTGTTGCGGATGCGGAATTTGGCCGCCTATCTGATGAGCTAATTTGAGTACATACAAGTATCTTGGTCGGTTGGTTGGATAGTTTATGCGTTCCCGTGGTGTCTGTTTATCGGAAGGGTGTAAAAGCCATCTTCCATTACAGATATGCGTTCCATTAGGATGGATATTGAATCTGTCAGATCGATGACTGAAGGTAAGTTGGCGTAAAGCAGGGGTGGGGGTTTCTAAGACACTGGATCGGAAGGCTATTTTATTTGAGCTGACGCTGAGGATAGGACAGTAGCTGGGATGAATAAGGACACTGAGAACGGCAAACCAGGAATTTTGTAGGTTTGCCGTGTGTATGTGAGCGGATAAGGGTCGTGCATACCGTACACCGGTGGTCAAAACGGGCCCTGTAAAGCAGCTCATTGTTAAGCGGAAAAGTGGGTACAATTCTTGTGACACGCTAAAGTATCCTTGCTGCGTCCTATATGACATCCATATCCACGATGCAAGTCAGTATCAGGATTTTCGGATATCTTCTGGGTTTAAAAGATGTTATCTAGATGAATGATTTAGCCAGCTAAAAAATGGCTTAATCTGTGGCCTAGGAAAACCTAAAAATTCGTAAAATTTATAAAACAAAATGGCCGGGTTTGGGCTAAGTAGCTACTATCAAACAAACGTCGGGTAAAGATTGCCTTATCCAGATGAGACCTCACAGTCCAAGATGGAATCCAAGGCGGGGAAGAAGGGCCCAAAATTTTCTGCCTCCGATGTAAGCTACTACTTCATACACAATTGAACACACTGGCAAAACATATAGACGTCTGTATCCTCGAAAACTTGAACGCAAGGCTGATGCCGTCACCACAACCTCGTAAACAAGTTCTTGTTGGTTTGTCTCATACAAATTGGACCTGCACGATAAATACCTCACTTGTGACTGTATGGTTACGCAAAGTCATTGGATAGCGTTTTAGGTATCACCGATTTGTGCCAACAACACTCGCACCACATGCGTGTACCGCTGGTGCAACTGGAAGAAACACTTAAAAACGCTGTTGCAGTGCATATATTCCAAAGTAAGGTTATATTTGTTATTAAAATCCTACGGGGCCTTTCATGAACTCATCAAAGATCACCAAAATGAACAAGCGAAACGTTGTAGTAATAGTTACCCATTTAAGATGTCTCATTAATTAGGGCTAATCAACCTGCACGTGTATGTGCGTAAAAACCCGTTGACTCAGATTTTCAGGCTAACATGGCACGGATCATCAGATGGATTTTACACAGTCAATAAGTGTTCGTCTCGCAATTTCCTTCTGTTTTACTGTGTAATCTGCCATGAATTAAGTAGCAAAATATCTCTCCTCTGTCATGGCAAAAACGGAACCTGGGTCGAAATTCGCATCGCGTGCACCTGTCTGGATTAGCCAAAAATAAAGTGAGGAGGAACGAGTGAATAACCCATGAGAAAGACGAAGCATCACCAAGTCCAACATAGCTGCGAAATTGGGAGGTGTCGCACAGCTCTGTAAAGGGTTTTAACCGCGCGTCAAGGTCACTCACATGTTTCTATAGCAAACAAAGCTATAGCTCCACAGATTGGGTTCGCCCTTGTTGTTCAGAGGCTTCTTCTCTCCTGAAAAGCACAAGTGAAAAATTATGCGACACCGCTTTCTCGGCTTTCAGCTCTTGAAAGTAATCTTGCCAGTTCAGTGATTTGCATGAATGTTCTAGATGCTGCGTGAGCAACCATCAGAGAAAGACCTTTCCGCCTACCGATGACCTGAAATGATAAAGATTGTCCGATGAAAGCGTGTGGACTGAACGTGGATATTACACCATATCCTCTCAGTGTACTGTCTGGATCAACGGTGTAAAAGGCAACTTTCACTCAAACCTTGTTCAGGCAGGGTATAGGTAGATATTAGGTTCCATCGGTGGTGACGACACTCAAATGCAAATAGTGGAAAGACCGTGACAGGCGCTTCGCAGTTCACAGATTGAAGCAAGCCACCATATTTGAAGGAAACCGAGGGAGTGCTCGCTAAGGGCGTGGCCTTCTTTTGTCCTGAGTAGACAAATTGGTTGCCCTATTCAAGAAGATATTTTGGCTGGGCCCCATTAGGCCTTCATGCGTGTCATACAGGGTAAGGTGCGTTGAGTCCTCCGTAGGATGATGAGTGCCTTTTCAGCCGATTTTTTCACGGTGGGAAGACAAGGACACGTTCGACGAAAGTCATATACCTAATTCATTCCCAATGTCCCCTGGCCCATTCTCACCATGTACGGTAATGACTTTTGCTGAGTCTTCTCAGAGCCACATACGCATGCACTTCTTATCATTCTCAGGAAGTGCCATTCCAGGGACCACTGCCTTGTGGCGTCAAAATATATTTGGACGTTCCTGACGTTGAAACCTCGAGATTTCCGGTTGTCTTTGACAAGCAGGCACATGTTTGAGAAGGCAACTGGCAGGCAGTTTGCGTAGATCGGGAGCAGGTGTGCTCAAAATAGGGCCCTAGGAAACTCTACTGATGGCAGGCGCAGAAGAGTTTGAGACGAGCCAACTTTCACAGATAATGTCATACATGATATGGAAGCTTTAATCTCCCTAAATCACCTGAGAATCGAGTTTACGAAGCGGTTTAGGAACGTGTAGGACTTCATTTGATCCATTCAAGAAATCCAAAAATATGACATCCCTTATGAATTTGTTGTCTGTGGCCTGGGTTGAACTGTCCACATATACGAGCATGTTCGCCACGCAAGAGTGTTTTTGGGAGAATCCTGATTTACTCCAGATATCAAGTTGTTGTCAGGTAGGTGAGCAAATAAGGGTTGATTTAGAATGATTTTCATCAACTTGCACGGTATGTAAGTGAGTCTAATAGTCCTGTGGCCGACGGTTGAAAGGCAGTCACCGGATTTTTGGATTGGTGTACCAAATGCTTCCCTCCTAGTGGAAAACAGCTTGTCTATTTGGGCAGCCGACAAAAATCGAGTAGAAATATTCCGTCAACACCTCATGGAATGCCACATCCTGGATATTCTGCAAGCAGTGAGGTTCCCTCTCGTTTCAGATAGACGATTTCAACGCGGAAACAGATGTTTAACACGAGCGGTCCATTGGCAAAAATGATATTTCTCTATGCCCAGTCTGGGGAACGGGCGAGTCCAGCTGATCTTCTGAATCCTTGGACCGGATGCTGCAAGCGTACCTCTGTATAATGTGTGAGCCCTTTAAATTTTCACTTGTCTTTAAATAACTTTTTCCGATGGTGATGAGCACGGAAGAACAGAAAATAGGTTAACGCGGTATATGTGGTACATAACTCAAGACCACAACATAAATGATACAACTTCGAAGCTGAAAGGGGCTTCTACATGTCTTTCCAAACCAAGTGTGCGTCAGCCGCCAGGATCACTACTTAAGTGGATGCTGAGATCTCCACCCAAGTGCACACCGGGCAGCTCAAACTAGTCTCCCATCTAGCTAAGTTCTCTCTATCTGTGTTCTGCTATATCGTCGGACGGTGGCGTCTGCGTAGCAAAAAGCAGGTTTTTGAAGCGATCAAGACTGACAAGGCCCTCCACCCTAGGCTTCGAAAAAACGGACCAACACCCGGACCCTACTGTATCCCACGCCAGCAAAAACTGACTTATTTAAACTTCAGGCCACCGGGTCCACGGCCCGCCGGATGTCACCTACTCTGTACATAGAAAACAGTCATGCGTCTTTCGTCCCTTCCTCTCTCTCTCTCGATCATCCGCGCATTCTACTTTCGCCTTTGAATTTATCTCCGCCCTTGCGTCCGGTTTCGACATCCCGAATTTTCCACTATCGCACTCATCCCCAAGTTGGTCGAACGCAACCACGTTGTGCCATGTGGTTTAATTCAGTCCATACGGCTGTTTAACACATAATAACGACATACCAGCTTTGAGAGCATTTAGAACAGCAAAAGAAAAAACAGCAATAAGATGCTTCCTCGAAAAATGCCCGAAGTCAGCAGGCTATCTCCCGTGTTTGTTCCTCCAATGATAGTGTTGTCAGGGTTTCTTAGCCGCCTTCCTCGGGAAACAACCGAGGGATGACTATTAAAAAAGGCTGATAAAGCGAACGTCTAAACCACCCTGAAATATCTATGGTCAATATTTCTGGTTTTAACTGGTGCGACTTTTGGAAGTATATAGGTTAGGTACAGCCCGCCGAAATTCCAGCGTACAATTTAGACCTCACTCTAATTTCTATCCCCGTTTTACTGGAAGCGCATGGGGGGCTCTATGCAATGCCAGCTTAGGATTATTCTCCTGGACGCCCGGAGAATTTTCAACTGTTTTGTTAGTCTGCGCTGGTTAAGCTTGAGCTCCGTGGTCACCTGTTGCGTAAAATGTCTGTGAGGGACATGGTTATCGTTCCCTGTACTACGGCTGATTTCACCGCTTCACCCTTCTTTTCCGCACTTCTCTTGCTCGAATAATGTGCTTCATCAGTTTGCGATCTAGCCTGAAGTAATACATTTATTGGGGATTATCTGTAAAACCAACCTGGAAAATTTATCAGCATCGCTTTCGAGGTAAGTTTGTCCTGTCGCCCATACTTACAGCCATTCTGCCCAGAACATCGAGCCGCACCAAACGGCTTCACACCAGGGGTCTCAAGTGTCTGACATTCATTTAGCGTGCACACCCATTGAACCAACCATGCTGATTGCACTATCCTTGAGGTCAGTGTTTAAATTCTTTACTTGTGCTTACATCGTACCGACGAGCAATGCAATTTTTTGATATTGTAAATTTAATCCATAATTTAGGGTGATCTGGGGCCGCGTTCCAGCTAGTCTCGTTAGCGCTACTGAAAATGTACACAGGGATCTTAATCAAAATAGTTTGCATACGTACATTATTATGATATCCATTTCGTAACAATGTTGCCAGGACAATTTTTCAAATGCATTTGAAATCAGGTGTTGATGATCGGAAAAGCAACGGAGAGTTGATTTTCATAGCTCACTCTTCTCGCAAACTTTTGAGCTAGTGAATGCAAAATCGTTATTAAATGACGAGGAACGGCTGTTTTTTAACATTTTGCGGCGCTAAATATTAGGCGCATTAACTTTAAGATGGATAGGTGTAACCCAGTTGTGGACGATTTAAAGGAAAAATTATTTACGTAAGACGAACCGCAGTTCTATAGAAGTAGAGCGGTTAGCGCGAACTCTCAAAAGCCATAAAGCACCAAGTCCGGACAAACTACAACTTCTTATGCTCGGTGGCCCACTCTCCAATTGAAGGTCTCCGGCAAATATGTACAACAGGACAATAAAAAACAAGAGATACTTCCAAAGTCATGGGTACTGAAATGAGCAAACCAATTCCCAAAAGTTATAAGCTATTGTTTCATGTGTCTAACCTCAATGGTTTTCAAAACTCAGGAAGGAGAGTGCCAAAACGTCACTGAACGCGTTTTCGTGAGCAAATTACTCACATAATTTGGTAAAACGTGGGTTCATAGAAGGATGGTTCTGTGTTAGGATTCTGCCGTCGGTTGTCGCACCTCAAAGCAACGCAGTGTGGCAGGATAGTGCACAGTGTTTAGCGACCCAATAAAGGCTTCTGACCAAGTTCAAACCATATTTTTACAGTTACCCTAACTATTCGCTATAGATGGACAAATGCAAAAGTGGATATAATTTTCTGTTTGACAATCGAAATGAAAAGTACAAGGCAGCGTTGCGTCCTCTTTATTGAGACGGAACATTAGTGGGATAGGAAACCGGATGGTTCTCAGATCCATTCTATGTACAGTTTATTTCAGCTCATTCTCAAAATTCATTGATATTCAGGGATAATTTAAATTGAGGTATAGAAATAAAATACACTGAAGACAGATTGGAACTACAAGGTAGCCCCAGCGGGCTGGCTAGCTAATGACGAGGACTTGAAATATCCATGATAGAGTGATGCGTATAACTCTGAGCTGTTTGCGCGAAATTGAGAACAACAAGTGTCGGATAAGAGGCTGCTCCAGTGGTTTGGATGAAATGAAATCTAAGTTTGCTCGTCCAGGTAAACCTTAGAGCGCAATTGTACACTTTTCTGACTGGATCAAGCTGTCTTTTCTCGCCATAAATGCTCAGGAGACTTTTCAGACACGGAATTTCAATGTACCGAAGTCGCATTTCGGTGACGAATTATAGCCAACATAATTCTCATGCAATAAAGGCAAAAATACTCCATGAGGCAAGTAAGGAGACCAGAAAACTGCCTAGTTGCCGAAATGAATGGACTATGATACAAACAGCGGCCCCAGCCAATGAGTCTTTACTAGCTAGAATGTAGGTGCTACGTGACCATTTCACTATCTCTGTTCATTGTCTACGAAAAATATTTTGATCTACTGTTTTTTTCCGCCTGCACTTATCACACGAACAAGGGACCATGATTAAAAAGGAAAGTCTAGCAGACAGACGGTATTCCACATGCCTACCTACCCTCAGGAACAATGAAGAACAAACGTCCGCAACATTTATCGAGGTTAGGCCAGTAAAACATTTTATGTCGTTGAGTGGTAAGCATCTCATTGGAACTACTGGGAAATTACCTGGAGAGTAGCGTGATTACCCGAAGTGCTGTGGATCGATGAACGTGAAAAACAATTTAGATCCTCAAACAATCAAAATTGTAATTTAAATCCCTCCAAATTTAGCACTTTCGCAGCTATAAGGCACTGACTGCTCGGACTGAGATTTCGTCTAAACAGGGAGCTTGTCACGATATTCAGTCACTCCGCAATGTAGTTGTTTTAAACCGGTAATTTTATAGTACCAAATTCTTGAGATTTACATATCAGCTCATTATGATTAGTACAGATAGAAGACGTTTGCTTCACAAAAAATAGTTAATTTTTTTACAGTCAACACTCTTGTTAGGCTTTGCCCTCTACAAATCTTGGGATGCGAATTTGACTGTTACCAGCTTCGTATCTTTTCGGCGTTCCAAAACGTCTGCTGTGACAACTTTCAGTACGTCAAATGTATAATATAATTGTGTGAAATCAATAAAGAATATCGTTTATTGGTTACTATTCAGGTGGCTGTAGATAAGTTTGACGACGTTGGCAACTGAACTGCAAACGTTTCATCACCATACGGACAGACATCATCACAGCGCACCTAATTGTCCACCTACTTTCGCCAGGGTGTCTTATTCATCAAACATTTCCTGGCAAACGTTGTTTTGTAACACAAAATAAGGAGTTTCTTTTCGATTCTCTGATGTGATGTGTTCGTGCTTTTGCAACTGATTCATTAGGTGATTCATCTAGTGGTTGCTATGGTCGCTAAATGTTTGTTCTGTATGTTTTTTCTAGCAATACACAATGTTTACCGAGGGCCGGAGATAGCTCAGTGGTTGAGGCGATAACTTACAGACCGAAAGGTCCGTGGTTGAAACCCGACCCCGAGATTTTAACTGTCTAGGCCTATGAAACCTAGTAGTATTTTAGTCCCCTGCTTCCTTCGAGTGGCATGGCAGCCGGGGATTGAAAGGCTTTCGCAGCCGAACGATTACATATTTTCCATTATGCGTCCCACTAAATTTGCGCATTCGTGTTAATTATACAAACAGCGCCCAGGAAGCCTCAGAAGCACTCCTGAGAATGTTGTGTTTCACAAACTCTGTGCAAATGATACTAATCTTTCGCTTCCGGTTGTTTGCCATCGCCCTTATCGCGTTTCAGAGTTGACGGCTCCTCACTCTCAAGCATTCTTGTTATCATTGGTAGCACTTGCTTATAAAAACTTTACGGTTAACTAAACGAAGCAGGAATTGGGAGTAATGATCCTCAACTTGTATTCCTGTCGTTTACACAACCATCGACCCACCATTCTGTCTGTCAACATCTGTCACATGTCATCGTTTTACAGCTTGTCCAACTTAAACTATATACTTTTTATCCTATATTCTGGAAGCCACTTCTGCCAGACTTCTAGCTGACGCATTCTACGGAAGCCATCTCTTACCAGTGCATTCACGTAGGTAGGCCTGCATTAGCTGCAACTGCCCACTATCAGTTTAAGGTTCACATTCTCCCCATATTCTTGTTCCAAGAGTTCTGTCAACCCCGCGCAAGGACGTGAACAGTGTGAGGTGGGTGATCTGGATTACGGAAGCTTTTTCACAAAGGACTGAGACATAAATCCGTTTATAATGCTGCCTTGTGATGAACCAACAGTTGATTCCAACGCTTTGTGGCTTACCTTTAATCAGTAGGGCTGGCAAGTCCCCAGCTCTTTGCCACATTTGCACGTGCACAGGAAAATGTCCTCGCAAGGGTCAACATCAGTGTGCGTGGATCGAAGGTGACGGGGGTTGTTATGGGCCTGATGTGGGCCGGTAACCCGTCATAGTGTATTGATGAAGCGTGTCTCAATTGGCTGACCTCGCAATTACACCAACTCTTGATTTAACCGTCCTCGTTTTACCTTGGCAAAGATGATCCAGTGAATTCACACTACTGGACTTAGGTTTCGTTCGCTGGTCTCGGGGGAATATGGATCTGTGGCATTTTACGTGCTAAACACATGTCACAATTACTCCACTAGATCACACTAGAAACCCCAAAAATATTGCGCCTGAATAGGAAAAGAGGTTCAAACTTAAGGATGTGACTTGTTTGTCTGATTACCCGATGATGACCCAATAACCAACTGGGTTTTCCAATCGCCTAAAAAGCTTGGCAGGACCTTTCAGACTGACAGCGCCACGGAAGCTGCTTGAAAATTTTGACTAGTTTAATGATTTTTAGAATTTGTCGCATGGTAACTCAGGTGCGTCTAGCATGTGCTTGTGAATTAAGGATAAGACGCTTACTCAAATGTTCGCTGTTTAAATCCCGGCACGGTCGTGGTTACGCACTGGTGGGTAGCTACCACAGGTGGCGAAACTCTGGTTTAATGCACCTCCTCTTTGGTGTGGATCCAGTAGAATAATTGCGTTAGAACAGCAGCAGAACCCCTAACAGAGATCGAAGTGGGTTTATAATCCTAAACTCCTACAACTAACTAAAACTAGTCCTCTGATTTGCCGCTCCATAAAAAAACTAAATGGGGGTTAAAATTTTTTGGGAAATTAGCCGGAAAACTGTATAAAACCGCTGGTACCAGTGGACCAGTACTCACATCACTTTTGCATCCGTTAAGTTTGTCATCCTCTAGATTTCCAACTGTTTCGTACACAGTTAATTTTATTCTGGTTGTGTACATCAGACGATTATCAATTTACTTGCAGTGGTAACCCTCGTTAAACAACACTTACCAGCTAATCTCCGTAATGGACAGTTTTCAGATAAATGATTAGATCAAAAATTGAAGACAGAGGTCATCAAATAATACGGTCCTCAGATGTAACAGCTGTGAGCAGCCGATCTGGAAAAGTTGACGCAGTTCACCTAATGAGTGTGCAGTTAGGCGATCATCTCCAGCAAAGCTGGTATACACCTCACAATATTGTATATAGTCTCATTCAACAAGACATCTATTTCCAGGTTTTCATTTATCTTGTCTAGCTAATCGCACCTATAATTTCCATTAGTTCTTATGTTGACTCTTTTGTTCTGTTCATCTATCCTGGACAGTCTGATGAATGAAAATCAAGGAGTATTATTTTGAAAGCCTGGGTTCGATCCCCACATGGGCACATTCAAGTTGACTGCCAACTTCTGTCCTGCTTATTTGAATACTTTCAAAAATAAAGACTCAATGAGAAATTTTCACCTTTCATAGGTCTTTCATTACATTCCGTTCCTTAGTTATGGATATCTAGGCCAGTTGCCGCAATATACAAGCTGAGACAAGCAGTGATGGCCTCAGTTAACTCTTCATTCAAACTTTCCTTTGCCAGGTTCCGGAAACATCAACTGTTTCACCTGGTTCCGCTGCACAAGTTAGCTTTCCGGCTGTCTATAAGGGTTTCGTTTGTCAAAAAACAGAGAGTATTCAACTTTGATACTTTGTGCTCACTTTGCGGGAGTAACGAATCCACACTAGTGAAGTGAACCGAGTTAACAGACAGCATGTTCGCCTATTTGAGCAAAAAGGTATCCTGAACGCTAGGTTGTAACAAACGCATATTTGCCAGATCTCAATCCCTAATGAGAAAAAGTTGAAGTCGATTTCCTGGAGCAAAGATCACGGATATATTGCTTGCGGTGGGGAGGATGGTCTACTGAAGGTTTTGAAGCTTGAAGTACAGGGTGAGTCCAAATCCAAAGGACTTGCAGCTCAGACCAATTTGGTGATGAACCAAACACTTGAGGGGCACACAGGTTAGAATATAATCCTTTTTATCACAATTCCAATGGCATCACATAACAGGATATGTTCAAGTCATCACGTGGAATGAGAAATTCAAAAAGATTACCACCTCGGATCAACAAGGACTCATTATTGTTTGGATGCTGTACAAAGGCGCCTGGTACGAAGAGATGATCAATAATCGGAACAAATCGGTTGTCAGTAGCATGAAGGTATGAATACACCTGAGTTTTAATCTTTCCGAATAGTGGGACACAGACGGACACCGAATATGCATTGTGTACGAAGACGGTGCTGTGATTGTGGGTTCGGTGGATGGAAACCGGATCTGGGGAAAAGAACTCACCTGTGGAAATCTATTAGCGGTCGAATGGTCCCCGGACAGCGCTCTGCTGCTGTTCGGGCTCATCACTGGGGAGGTGCTTGTCTACGACTATGCGGGAAATTACTTGGTAAGACGCATACCACTGTCGGTTCACTAGTATATGTATGTACACAGCTGATCCCACACAGTTTTCTATGCCAACTGGATCGTTTTGAGCTGTTCAATACTACTTCCTTGTCTATTCGTTTCTTTAAAGCGTCTAATGAACTGACAAAGCCGCCCATGTGTATTCCGTGATAAACGATCCATTGTTCGGGTTTTGTCGTGTTTTGCTGCACCCACTTCCGATTTAGGAGGTGGATCATCAGCTGGGCCGTCAACCGAGGCTTACAAGGTTGCGTCTAGTATGAGCATCCTCGGTGTGGTGTTAATAAGGTCTTAGCTTACCACTTGATAAGAAAATTCAGCTGAAATCACCTGGACTGTTTCAAACTTAGAGTTATTTCCCAGTAGCACTTCTGATCCGAAACAAACCCAACGACAAAAGTTTGAAAACCTCGTTTTATAGATGATATATATTTGTGAATCGACTACCCAACTGTATGCATAGAAAACTACCAGATGAACTTTTCGTAGGTTTTTCAGGAAATTACTGACCACTGGAGTGCAGATCGGGCTTCCATCCTATCTTACCTTCCGGAAGTGGCAGTTCCTTAGATCAGTCATCTTACCGTGGAAGGATGCACCTCTACTCAACGACTTCGTGATGTACTCTTTGTTTTAACCATGTCCAATAAGTTTGGAATCCACAAGCTTTTAGTCACTGCATCCACCAGCAGGACAAAGTTTTGTAAAATATTTATCATTAGAAACACTCTACTGTCTTTCCGCAGATTTACCACATAGTGAGGGGCATGGAACTCTGTTCGTTTCGCACCTCTTGACAAACAAAATAAGGCCAACGTCACAGATGAGACTGTTAAATTCTTAGGAAAGGGATTTTCACCTATGACCATGAATGTGGAGCGTCTCCTGATCGGCTGGACCGCAGAATAATTCCATCCAACTTGTTCCTTAGGTGGGGGGTTCTTCTCAGGAGAGAATCTCACATTCATAATTAAAAAATCTCAAACGACCACCATTGTTTCTTTCTTAGTGAGTTTGCATGGATGAGGGCGTCTTATAAAGTATCAACACTACGTGTACGGCTTTTCCTTAGAGAAAACCCTCCCACAGGTGCAATGCCCTGAAAAGATCCAGTTTCAAAAGTATCCATACGTTAGTTGTTTGCAAAATACAATACGCCTACCCAAGTTTAAAAATACTCTTCTTGATATATTGAATCATCACAAAAGACGCAGGTTTTTACGCAATAAGAGAGAGACTGATCGAGCAGTTTTCAGTTTAAGCTATGCCCCTTGGTAACCTTTAGTCGTACACGCCCTTCTGTACCTTTTAATTCGTGAAACACCTATCACGGAACTTACACCAAATTTGGGGCGATCCATTGAGAACCGTAACTTTCGGAGTCTACCCATTGTGTCGGAAAGCTATGGAATACAAGATCAAGAATTTCATAATGAAATCAGGATCAAAATCATCGTCAACCGTAACAGCCGCGTACTCGTCGTACAATGGTTGTAGCCGCCGCAGTTTCGTTCACCGATGAGTCGGGGAGTGGGGTAGATAGCTGCGCATTGGAGGCGGGAGATAATAAACTGGTGCATAAATCCAGCACTGTCAGTGGGCTGTCATTTGGAGGGATTGGGAAGGGAGCTATGCATGGAAGGCAATAGCTTGGATGCATGAGTGCCATTGAGGGCGCGACTGGGCCATGTCTGACAATGTCTCTAACCATTGGTATGGCCCGTCTCGGGGTCCACATCCAGAAAGACGGCGATGACCAGCGCAGATGAATTTGCTGGTAATGGCTTTCACACTTTGCTGCCAAGTCACTGTTTGATCGCCTCTGGCTCTCTTCCATCCTTCGCGTGGTTGTGCGAAAAGAGACCTTCGAGGAAGTCGGTCGAGTGTCACACGCAGTACGTAGCCAAGCCAGCGCAACCTATGCAGTGTGATCAGTTCATCTATCGACGGTGAGTGATTTCTCCCGAATAACATTCGACGTACTTTAGCATTGCTGATCAGGTGTTCCCACCAGATTCGGGCAATGCTCCGAAGATATCAATGGTCAAACACTGAAAGTCTTTTGACGTCCTCAGCGCGTAGCGGCCAGGTTTTTGATCCATACAGTAATATGGAGTGCACCGCAGCATTGTGAACTCGACCCTTGACAGAGAAGCTGATGTCACGCCCACGCCACAGGTGACGTAAGTTCGCAAAAGCTGTTCTGGCCTTCCCAATCCGGATGGAAATATCATCTTTCGTGAGATCACTGGGACTGATACAGCTGCCCAGGTAAACAAATTGGTCTACTACCTCAATCGGTTCATCCTTAAACATGAGGCTAGGGTTCGAGCCCACCCAGTCTTGCAGTAGCACTTTACACTTTGCAGGTGTGAAGCGCATGTCGAACCGCGCGGCAGAATTATTTAGATTATTTAATATTGTTTGCATCACGACGGGGTCAAATCAAAATGATATATGTGTGTTCATGAAATCCAACACCGATACTGCTGACAACTTTTCGATTGGTTCTCGGGTCTTCCAGCAAACAGATCCAGGGCAATTTTACTCACACTTTCGGTAATGATCGAGTGATAATTAGAACCTGAGAAAAATACAGGGTGTGCCCAAAAACTGGGAACAAATGACTTACTTCGGACCCCTGAGAAGAAGTCAACAGAAAGAGCCTCAGCAAAGAAATGTTCGGATGCAAACATCCGCAGTTTAAGTGGGACACCTCTTACGAAGAAGGACGGGATCGTTTCCCAGTGTGAGTAGGTGGAATCGCAAGGAGTACACCTCAAAACCACCGAACTTTCAAGACAAACTGTGAGTGGCTTTTTTACAGTCTGACGACCTCTGGATTCTTGGGCAAACGTTTGTCTGCTTCCGTGTTGTCCCAACTAAAATAATTCGCTCTATGTAAGGAATAATTCACACCACCCATCAGAGAGGTTGCCACTCGAAGACCCCCCAGTTTCCACATGACTATGACTCACTCAGGATTTCAAAGAATGACTAACATTCATACTGTTTACAGTACTCATGATGTAACATTGTAAGTATACTAGGCGAATAGGTTTCAAGGTCGTAATTCGAAGTTGGGGGAGTGTTGTATCGTGGGTGGCCGTCTATTGGTTACACCTGCACTGAGCCTGCCAGACTACGCGATAGGGAGAAGACAGAGAACTCGGGACACAGCTGTATTGTCAGGACAAAACATACAGAGCGTCTGCTTAATATACAGGATGACTAAATGACCAAATATGGTCGTTCACTTGTTCGTTCCGTACAGCCAATGGCGGTGTTCCGGTCGCGAACACTTTCAGCCCCACTACGCTGGTCGTATGTTGCTAAGCCGTGTTTGGTGGGAGCCGCCAACTCACCTACTTTCTGGACGTGTCGTAACGATGATGACCTTGGGGAGGCGTCACTCTCTGCGCATGTGCTTTTTTCCTGTCTGGGCACGTCCTGACAGGGAGCCATCCGAGTGATCGCCCCCCCCCAAGTAAGGACCGAGTGTGGGAAACAGAAAGGCTTGACAAAGAATATCGCACACACAACTGGTTTTGTGTGCAGTTTGTTTTGGCGAACATGTTAGAGGAGAGAATGATCAAAGCATTAAGCAGCTAACCCATTTTCATTGGGGATGGTCACATTTTAGACTCATTACATTTTTGGGGAGATGGATTTCACTCTATAGATAGTCCTCCTCTGTAGTTGATAGCGATTTCAGTTAATTTCTTTATTTTTACCTGTAAATCTGGGTCTGTGTCGGGAACAACAAAAACGCACATGGCTGTTGCTGTTCGACCCAACAAGTGACGATAACCCTTCAGAAAAGGTCAGTTACGCACGAGGTGTGCATGAAAATGGAGGTGGTGGAGTTCTGATTTCAGGAGAGAGTTCTGTGGAAAGTGTATACTTCTTGGTCATCACAAACCGTCGCCTTGATCATCTTCAATGTTTAACACCCTTTTTTTATAAGAAACAACTAACTGGAACTCTCAAGAGTGTTTTCTACTTTCAAGAATTGCTGACTTGGAGGTTGGGCACACAATGAAATCAGGAAAGCAAATCAAATGGACAAGAAAGTTTAACCTAATATAAAGTTATACCACCGACCATAGGATGAGTAACTTTTTAACAGTATTCGAAAGATGACAGGTGTTGGAAGATTGCTTAACTTTTCGTTTGGACTGAGCGAACTGTTGATGGGAGACAGGCATGTCCGTGCCTGAACCATCTTTTTGTGAACACCTGACTTCATTAAATTACCTTGCTGTGAAATACGCGAGTGACCTCAAAGTAAGCTCCCACAATCGTTCCATTGTTCTGTATTGTCTCCCGAAGAACCGCAATCCTGACTTCGTCGATTAGGGCTAACCTTCAACCTATGATCGTGATGCACTTTGAACAGATTTCATGAGACAAGTTCATTCACGTGACTGTGTTGACTTGTTTTGATCCATATTACTGCGCAAGCAAGCGAACTGAAGTCACAACCATTCGTGAAGTTTTCGACCACTAATACGATTATTCCGTTTTGTCATGAGTATTACCACGTGGATATAAAATTGTTTTTAGCTCGATTATCTGAAGACTGGAGAGTCATACTACTAAAAGTCCCTTTGTAAAACAGTTCACTACAGTGCGTTCCCTAGGCGAGAGATTTTCCCAAAGGGTAAGCAAACAACTGCCTAACCCGGAATAGTGATTGATACAAAATCTTTTTTCGAGCAAAAACTACCTGTCTTCCCAATGCCCCTGCTCAGTCCAAGGTGTCAATCTACTGCCTGAACAACATTCACGGTGCAGTGCGTCTTGTTGGCCTTCACTGGTATAATGGTGGAAAAGGGTTGGTGGAACCGAACTGTCCCACGTTGGCGGTCTGCTACGATATTGGACGATGTCAGCTGATGCGCCATCATGGCGATACCGGTGAGTCTCGTATCTGGAGATATCGTATAATTCACCAACACGTGCAGAATGATCCCACATGATACCTGTCATATCCTAAACTCCAAGTGAAATGTAGCAAGTCGTCAGTGGTTAAGCTTTTCTGTACAGACAGACACGGTCACTGGGACACATGAGGTTCTGTTCATCCGGACCACTTCCATTCTGCACTCATTCCTAAAATTCCACGGCTAACCTGCCTTTCAACATTCCGATGATAGTTTCGTGTTCCAAGCCATTTTGACTATTTTGTACGGTATCAAGTTCAGTATCCTCGTGTTTTGGAATCTATCGATCAGGTGTAACTCTCCTCAGGAAACTTCATTTCCCCAAAACATTTTGTGAAACTGGTGAGGGTTCACCGAGAAACATTCCTGTCTGTATTTTGCTCATTTTTTCCATCGTCATCATTGGAGTATACTCTCCGAAAAACCGCGAATCTGAATGTCAAATTCACATATGGTAGACTTAGATCACGCAGATGTTATTTTATTTGACGCCCACGCATTTGTACAAATCAACCTGGGTAGAACGTCTGAAATGACACCGTGTTTCTGCGACAACCTGCACCTTCAGAGTGCAAGGTTTTACTTTAAGACTTCGCACCCCAATGTACCCCTTTAAACTTCAGAATGAGGAAGATCACTTTGTTGACTGGCTCACTCACTTATTTCAGCAGCATTATAAGCCGGGACTTCTCTGTGACAAATGAGATCACTGCAAGCACCACCAAGGTGCAAGCAATATTTACTGACCTGCATGATCTTTTTCATTAGAAATCAATCAGCCAAGTTGTTAGCTATAAACCGTGTACCATAGGCACATTGGTCACAGCTGCTACAGTTTCCATCAACGGAAAACGGGAGTGTGGGACATACAGCCAAGCCTTGAAGGCGAAGGCATACTCAATTTGTTCCAAAATTGAGTAGCTACGCATTAAAGGCGATAGCTTTGACGCACCAATGACTACACAACTGGATCATTTCATTAACCAGTGGTGTTCTGAGTAATGGGATACCCATCCAGGGAGGCGGCAGCTGCCCACCCAACTAAGTTTACTGGTTAGTGTTTTCATACTTCGTTGCCAGGTCATACACTGTCCACCCGTCGGTCACTTTCACGCAGTTCAGAGCTAAGAAAAAGGAGCTCTGTGGAGCAGACAGTCTTCTGGCATGCGGAGTACATGTCCCAACCAGCGCAGCCTATGAAGCGTGAGTGATTCACCCATCGCGGGAGAGTTTCTTCTTTCCAAGACCATCTGGCGTACCTCAGCATAACTAATCCGATGTTCCCACAGCCGTCCAACTCTGCCTGTGAAACCTGGCTTCTTTAGATTAAAGGAACCGAACGACTTTGGATATCTGACCACCTCTGTCTCCAGCATTTACATGATGAGACGGTTCGTAGGCGAGTACTTGATAATGAGTCCAATTTGCTTGATCAGGCGACAATGCTTACCGGGCTGACAAATGACCGTCTAGTACAGAAAGTCCTCTTTTTCCATTTCAAACACTAGTTGATGAAAAGTTTGACGGGAACAAGCCATAAAGTAGCAACGCGAAACGAAAAGCCAAAAACAATAAAAAGTCGAACCAATAAGTAGCTCGGAGCAAGAGTAGTTTCAGAAGACGACTGAAACTACCATCTGAGCATTCGTCAATTGAGGGCTCAGTCAACAAGTGATCACGTGATGTGGACTCCGTCAGCGAAGTATGAGTGGCGCTATATATAGTACGAGTTAATCACACTGCTGATCAGCTGCTCGTGATCGAAATGTTAGGTTTTTAGACTACTAGCTGGGGGTCGGGGGTTCGAAACCGTTTGGAGAGTTTTGTGGGAATGCGCACTGCTGATGAATCCCATCAAGGATGAAATACCTGTACAGTGCTTCTCGACTTTTTAGCATAGATTGGGTTCTTCACTACCAGGATGGAAATCGATAATAGCCGCTGTTCTCTCCGAAACTCCTGCTCAGGTTTCAAGAGGATTTCGAGGAAGTCATCCAGCAAGGCACGCTAGAAGTTAATGTGCCTAATTATTCAAGGTACGGGAAAAGCACACTTGTTTTTGACCGCTGAAATGTCATGCGTGACAGATGATCTAGTGACGTCGGCTGTGATACAAAGACGTTTTACAGCATCCGTCTTCAGAAGACGTGCCTTGGTCAACCTGTATAGTGTTGACTAAACCCGTTCTGTCCTGACCAGTGAGGTACTACAATGTAAACCTTCAGTCCTCTGAACCGATGGATATATTATAAAGGAAGATATAGCAAGTGAGCGGGTTTTGCCACAATAAACCCAGAGTATCTGGATAAGCGATAATCATCAGATTGGTTTCGACGTGTACTTCTTCAGAGTGGCTGTGTTTTCGTCTGCCCCTTGAAGAGGCTAGTTAACGGAAACATCTCTTTGATGATCTAGTAAGATCCATCAACAGTGTGTCACTGAGCTAGATCTGTGAAGAAATTTGAGGACATTGTTATGAATAAACAGCGGATACCGCAATTTCCGGTGCTCCTAGGTCGTTCGGTCCGTCCGAGTCACAGGCTTGTGTCAACCTTGGTTGATAGGATAGCAATAAAGACTCATAAAACCATGATTAACCTGAAAGTTCCTCCTGGAACAGACGAACTAGAGCTGCACGGTACTCGGATGCGGTCAGTGCTACATAAGGCGGCCATCTTTGATGGTGAATTTTCCAAGCCTGATCCGAACAGTGATCAACAGCCCGACGGTTTCATGAAAGAATGCCATACTAATAGATACAACACTTCTAAGTAAGCTATGACAGTCGAACAGGATGATACCCCCTCAGTTGTAGCTTCTATCCTAGAAGTGGCCGTTGTCTTGTCGTTTCTCTCCCATTTTGAATCCACAAAATCAATATAACAGGGTAAACAGTAAACACTTGATATAGCAATAAGTTCAGTTTAAATCAGTCAGTTCAGTTTTTTAATGAAACTTCCTGTACTGGAGCGCTACGGTTTCGTTCGCCGATGAGAGTAACCTTTCCTGAAAGCTACTTGGCGTCAGTACCGTTCTGATGTAATTAATAGACCCATACGACGCTTCAGAAGCACAGATGGTCTGATACGGAGGGCCTTTGAAGAACTTCACACGTAAGATCTACGTCCTTGATCCATAGAGTAGGACATTTTATACTCTACCCTTGACAGTCAATCCGATGTTACTTTGGTGCCACAAATGTCAGAGCTTGGCAAGCGCTTCGTAACCTCCCCGACTCGAGCCCTAACTTTATCTTTCGCCGGTCCACCACAAAAGTGGGAGCCCAGCACCGAGAAGTTTTTGTTAGATTTCAGCAACCGAAGTTCCAAAATACACGATGGAACCCCAACTGTCTCAGGGTATTCAACCAGTTGTCTCACAAAGTCGCTCCCGAGTTAAAACTCATGTGTACTTTCCAGTCATTCAAGTAAGCAATGAAAATGCGTACTGGTTGCGTGTGTCTGCCTTTTGGTCTATCCATCGCTTTGTGGTTCACCTTGTTCGAATTTGCTGATGGACATACTTTAGAGACTTTCAAGTGAGAGACAAGTCATCTGTTGTCGTTGTATCAAGACTTTCTGAAGCAAAACTATTGGGAGAGTTATGTCGTCTCATTGTGGTTAGTATTTCTAATCCGCCAGAGGACGTCTCAATAAGCGACCATGATGGGTTCTCCATTACCTGGGCAGCTATACAAGTTTCGGTGGTCTGGCTGGAGATGAGAGTACTTCTTGAATCGGAAAGGCCGGAGCAGCTTTTGCCAACCTCTGACACCTATGACGTCGACATGACGTGAGCTCGTCTGTCAGGGAAAGGGTTTGCACCACGGTGGTGCGATCCATACTGCCTTATGGATCCAAGACCTGGCTCCTACGTACAGAGGACATACGGAAGATGTTGTCAGTGTTTGATCATTGGTGTCTCCGCAGCACTGATCAAGGTTGGTGGGAACATCGTATTAGTAATGCTGAGGTACGTCAGGTGGTCTTAAAAAGAAGGAACTCTCCCGTGAAATATAAATTACTCACGCTTCATAGGCTTCACTGGTTGCGAGAGGTACTACGCATGCCAGAAGACCGTCTGCCCCAGAGACCTCTTTTTTCCTAACCAGGTGCTGATTGGAAGCGACCGAGAAATGGACAGTGTATGACCTGGTAACGAAGTATGAAAACACTAACCAGTAAACGTAGTCGGGTGGGCAACCGTCGCCTCCCTGGATGGGTACCCCGGGGACTCAAATCGCCAGTGGTTAATGACATTGGCAGAAACGGCCCCATCGTGCAGCCAGTGGTGCCCGTGCATCAAACCTATCACCCTCAATGCGTGGCTACCCAATCTCAGGACAAACTGAACATGCATTCGCCTCCAAGGCTTGGTTGTATGTCCCACTTTCCCGTTTGTGGTGATTGAAACCAATGTGCCTAGGGTACACGGTTTATAGCTGTCTGTGCATACCAGTCTGCGCATTCTTAAGTAACCTAAAATTCACATGCTCCCCGTCTAGTTTCGCATTTGGGCATCTCGTGGATAATAGTGGGCATGAAAACTGTATGCAGTCATCACTCCTCAAGTCAGATCATGTCAAAAACCAAAAACAAGAACCCCAGTCAGCCATGATGTATTGCACGGTTTTTTCTCCCAGGCGAGTCAACCATCATTCTTTGTCGTGCTTTTCATGGTTATCTCATCAGTCAGAGTGACAGTTACCTCATTTCCCTGGATGGGGACCCAAGGGACATATTAGTGTTTAAAATCGTTCAGCAGTCACGACCTTCCGGTGCCTAGCTGCCATGCTACTCGAAGGAAGCACGAGGACTGGAATACTGTCAGGTTTCCCAAGCCTAGACAGGGGAAGTCGAGAGGCATAGGTCGCGTTCGAACCCCGGGCCTTCTGGTCAGTAAATTCGCGCTCTAACCACTTGAGCCATCTCGTCCCAATTCGGACAAACCGATCAAGCACCTCAGTGTACTAATGTCCCAAAGTCAGATACTTCCTCATTGCTCAAGCTGAATCAAAAACTAAAAGCAAGGCCAACACGGACAACCGGTTGGCCAAAAAACACCCTGAGTCTATTGAAACGGTGGTTTCGAAGTCGGATATGAGTTGTTTAAAACTACTGGGAAGGCAGTCTTTTCAGAATACTGTGTCCTATTCCAACCTATGACTTTCCAACAAGGGTAACCCCCGATAAGAACTACTGTCCTAAATGGGAACAACGCAAGGTGTTGAGATTCGCCATGCCTACCGATGCACCAAGTCCACCTGCGACTAACAAATGAGACGTACACATGAAGCATTTGCTAGTATACCCCAATTCGACACTTTGTTTGATGGCTTAAGTGAGAACAACCCACAACACTGGTCGATATAGGCACTCTTGACAAGATAATAACACTTTACTCTATCTTAAATTTTCCTTGTAAATTTGTTCCTAATGACAGAGCACTCTATTGTTGGATCACCTCAGCTGTTATACTGGTTCTGGCTATTTGGATTTTGGCTTTCCTCCTCACTTGTAAGATCGACGGTCCTAGTTGTAAACTACACCCTGAAATATCTAACGGGATTCTAGACGGCCGTGAGCAGAAGTGTCGGAAAACGAAAGAACCCACACTGAGACGATCGGGTGTCTGATAAAGCGATAAACACTTTATTTGGAAAATGCGTTCAACATTGTAAGCCAAGATGTATCTATACCGAGTTACTGCCTGCTGAGGAGAACGTGGTTCTTTGTATGTAGTTTGGAGTGGAGCAACCTAGGGGTGGACAAAATGTGACATTGCAAGAGGGGTTGAATGGTGTTACGAAAAGTAGGGGTACTCTAGGTGCTGTGTAACTTGTCGCATGTTCTTTTCTGCATCAATGGTTAGAGACATGGCCCAGTCGTGCCCTCAATGGCTCTCATGCATCCAAGCTATTGCCTTCAATGCAGAGCTCCCTCCCCAGTCCCCACACTTAACAGTCCATTGACAGTCCTGTATTGACGCATCAATTTATCAGCTCCCGCCTCCAATGCGCAGCTACCTACCCCACCTCTCAAAATCAACGGTGAACGAAACTGTGACAGCTATAACCACTGTACGACAAGTACGCGGTTATTACAGTGCCAAATGAAACATGAGGCGGCCTATGTGCAGCACATTCAGTTGTAGAATATCATAAACGAGAGATTCACTAGATCCCCTCGTGAAAACCAAGTTGATTTGCAAATGAGTGTATTTTTGATAGTCTCCTGTTTTGTAGATGTAGTGCCTCTTATTACAGATGCTCCTTGTTTAGGGGTAATATGTACCAGACTTGTGCTTGAACTCTGGTTCAAAATGGTGCGGTCTGAAAATATGTGACTCCGACACACTATACTGTACTCATCTACCTAAGTTACACAGCCGATATTGCTCAAAATCGGTACTCCTCGGAAAATTTCAACAGTACCGTTGGAACTCCATTTTCACGTTAACCCTAGACCCAATTCTACTGGATACTGGGATTGAAATCGCCTGCTCCGCATGGAATGAAAACGGATCCTTACTTGCCGTGGCTGGAGTTCAAAAGAACATTGGACTGTCAAACGTCGGTGCGGGAAAGACTACTGAGCGAGATATCAATGTTGTGCAATTTTACAGTGCATTTGGTGAGGTAAGTGTGCCGCTGTTCTCCATACTCATGACTAGGGTACCAAATGCTGCCTTCTTGTTCAACGTGGGATTATTGCGTAACAAACTATTCAACCAGTGGATTGAATAAAGTAGAATAAAAAAACGACACTAGGGAACAAAGTGTAAAATTTGCGTACCNNTAGGTGGATGAGCCGATATTACTTGGGATAATAGTTTTATAAGGCAGTCATTCGAACAACATTTTGAAGAACGAAACGAAACAATTTGGAACTTTCAAACTCTTTCCCGTTACGATTGGAACTCTCTCTTCCTGACGGATGCTTCCGATTGGGGAAAATCACAAGGACAATAAGTGTGCAAATGAACTTCCTTGCAAGTTATATTCTCCGTGTTTGAAAATTCTCGAGCAATCAGGCGAGAAATACGCTCACTGTACAGAGTGACCCCGATCAGAGCGACCACTGCGCGAGTGGTCCACGATGTGTTCAGTACAGTACTGTTCTAACAGCGTTTTAAAATCAAGCAACCAAGTATCTCAGAACCATAGCTCGTGTGGGTTGGTGTCGGCAAATCCGTAACAAAGCAGTTAGAAAGCGCGTTTTTGGTTGTGCAACGGGTATTTTCATTGAAGAATGTGTCCAGCACTAGAAGCTGCGATGGTTGGGACATGTGTTTCGTATGCCGAAACATCGTTTGCCGAAGAGAGTGCTGTTTTCCATGCCCAACTCAGAGTGGCGTAAACAGAGAGGTGGCCAACCTATGACCTGGCAGAGGAGTATAAAGGAGATCACGAAAGGCTTGGGTGCTGTCGGTGCTACCCGCCTTCCAGGATGGGGACCGCGTGATCCTCACTGTGCCTGGTTGGAGACACTACAAGATATGGCTACCAACCGATGTCAGTGGTGTTCTTGTTGTCAGTTTCTATCCAGATTGCCTGAGTGAATGCCTGGAGGTGTAGGAACCTCGGAATGATTGTGGTAAGCTAGCACTAAGTCCCTTCTCCGTCACCGATGTCAGCTGTCGATCATGATGATGATGATGATGAATCTATACGAATATTACACAGTCAGTAGAAATATTATCAACGTAAACAATGCTATATCCGCCGATATCTTCAACCGCTTCGATTTGCACAGCACCTCAGATCACTATGTCTTCCCGGAAAATCTTTGACCTCCTGCGCTTGGGAAGGAAGTGGTTCGCTACGCCTGGCTCTGACTGTGGACTCGTTCATCTATTTCGCAAATTTGCGACCCGATTATAAATGGGCTTACTGCAACGCAGCCAACACGATCATCTACAGTTTTGCACGGGCTGGATCCCAGGCCACATTCGTTGTGTTTTGGAATGTGAAACGCAACTTGGTACGTGTGTTTGTTTTCCCAATCTGGTAGAAAATTTAGCTCTTTTCATCGTCAAAAACGTAGTCGAGATGCTCTGGAAACACCCAGTAGTCAAAGCACTGCTCATTTTGATGTCCTTTTAAATGCGTACTTTGTTTGGAACTAAACGACACTGCCTATTCTACAAGCTTCCTTTTCTTACATAAACAACAGAGTCTTCTAGGCCGGTTGTCCTGAAATCCATGGGGGCTTACTCAAACGAGCCTACAAACTGATGCGTTTGGCGTCCGGGGAACTAAGTTGGTTCACCAGTAAGGGGGACGGAAATTGCTGTGTAAGAAACTTTGACGGCACTGGTTTTAAGTGTTAGTTGGCCGTGCAATCTTCAGAATGAAGCACAAAGTTGACAGGCATCTGCTAGCTTCGTAAACCAAGCGAGAGCTTGGGCCGGATCTGCTTTCTAATACGGCTACCACAACCAACCCCTGTGAAAAATTTGCTAAAATGTGAGCATTATGAGCGGGAAGTTGGTGCAAAGTTTGTCCAAATATGTTTGCCTGTCGTTCCAGTTTAAAAGTGACGTATCGGGGGATATGATACAACTTTGCACGAACCTAAAACACGACAGTCCTTCTAAGTAGCTCATTTTACCTTGTCATCATTCTTCGGAACTGAAAACACGCTCAAATCACTTCGGCCATGTGTCAGTGCTCGCTGTCCCAGGTGGAAAACCAAATAGCTTTCAAGAATGTTCTTAATGACTCTTCTTCTGCTCGGACGATACTTCTATATCGAGCCAAAAGTTGTATTCACAGAAGACTCACCTGAATACCAGTCCAATCTCAGAAGGACACCACTAAAGAGAGATTTAGCTAGGATTCAGGTAAGCCTCCCGTGAAAATCAAATTGGTTTGCAGGTAAGTGTGTTTTGGGAATTTCTTGCAATTTGGTCTGAAGTAGAACATAAGGTTGATGGGAATTCGTAGACTGTGTCTACCTGATGAGCTCCAAGAAGGGCAAAACCAGTATTGGGCCATTCAAAAGTTTTCAGCGATCGTCTGAGTAGTGTCTTACATAAATTTGAGGCGGGGGTGTGCATCAGGTTTAGTCAGTCCTCAATCGGAAGATATACCACACACTTTACTATACTTAATGATACCAGTGATAAGCAAAAGTAACATTTCTTTACCCACCGCATCTATTCTTCCAGACCCGCATGATTTCGGTAAATCAACTCACTCATATTTGTGCTGCCGAGGACTACGCATGTCTGGTGTGCAAAAATGACCCAGCGGGATCTGGGGTAAGTCGATGCAATAGAATTCTCTCCCTGTTTGTCATGACACTCACCGTTCAGCTGTAGTACTCTTCCGGTGCCTAGCTGCCATGCCACCCGAAGGAAGCACGAGGGCTGGGATACTACCAGGCTGCCCAAGCCTAGACAGGGGAAGTCGAGAGGCGGAGGTGGGGTTCGAACCACGGACCTTCCTGTCAGTAAATTCGCGCTCTAACCACTTGAGCCATCTCACTCCATGAGCCATCTCTTTAATGGATTCTTTTTTTCTCAAGCCGTTAATTCGATGCGAAATAACCTGATTCTTGCAGTTCTAAGTAAATTAAGTATGTACCATAGAGTTTTATGAATACGCATTAAATCTTCTTACGGATGAGTTGAAACAGTTATGATTTTGGTCTCGGAATGCCAACAGTCGATGCTTTGACCTTGTGAATCGGCTGGTTACCAAAAACGTTGTCAGGATAGCTTTGGTACCCATTCATCTGAAATCGTCTGCTGCCGCGATGAGGAGCTTCCAAACGTGAGGTTTCCCCATGGAGAGGAATCCAACCTCGAGGATTTACTCTTCTGCCAACAATGTGATTGTGATCAATATGATAGTCCTTCCAAGAAAACAACAGTGGCCTGATAACTTTGTGTTAGTCTCTTGTGCCAGGCATAAGAATGTAACAAATGTTCAAATTGCTCGCCAGAAACGCATGCTCCATGTCCTCGTAGAACCTTCACTCTACTTTGGTAGAGCGACAGCCCACGAAGGCGTTTTCTTGTATCATTGACAAGAAACACCCAGTGCCTGTCCCTTCAAGCTGAGAGTGATTTAGCTGTGATGAGACAGCTCATCCTGTTTTTCTACTGTTCACCTTTCAGTCCACACTCACTCTGTGTAATGCAATGGGAATCTCGTTGAATTCAAAACGAATTCAGCTAGAACCCACGCAAGTTCTGATGACCGGAAATCAGGTTATTGCAGTTACCAAATCGCTCATCTACGCCTGGCAGTTTGCCAATCCCAAACAGCTGACCGGCCTGACATCTGGTTTATCCTCGTTTGGACGAGCGCATCGGGAAGGATTTGAAAGGTGAGTTGGTGCAAGCAATGCCACTGGAACCAGTCTTATTTCCTTTAATAGATATTTAAGCCCATTTTGGTATAACGATTTCGGAACCGATTGGCTCACCTCAAACCATTTGCCCCTTGGTGTGCGAAACGCCATTCGAATCACTCTAAACGGATGAAATGAGGACCTGTCCAGTTCCCGATTTGCCTTAATTTCGTTAGTTGTACAATACCTTTTGCTTGATGAAACTCATTTGCGCATTCCACCGACCATTTTTGGACTAAAACGCAACGTCTGCCCAACTTACATCTAGTACATACAGTAGAGATGAGTTTATCAACCAAATGTCTGCCAAAAGCAGGCTCAAATACTGCATTGAGTGGTGGCCGCTCTGTAATGCTCCCGCAGGTTACACAAGCTAGGGTTATTGCAAGATGTAACCATTCTAGAAAGGCCAAACATGAGCTGTCAGACAAAGAGCAGCGAGCCTTCAGAATACGAGTGCTGGCATTGCGAAACGACCTTACGGTGAAACCGAACTGTCCCGTGTGGTGGAAATGGGGAGACAGGGGAGTGTTTTCTTACTCAATTCGCAAATAAACGTTTATCTCAACTGCCACTGCATATGCAGCGAAAGCAGTCATAATTCTGCGTCTTACCTCAACTGCATCTACGCCACGATGGTTTGTGCATTCGTAACATCTTTCAAAAAGAGGTGAAACAGCTTCAGTTGAATTCCCCTTTAGCAACAATGGCATTAGCGAATGAGTAGGTTTCGCGAACTGTGTACAATTTGTCGTTCAAGTAATTTATATGGTTGACGAAAACCAGGGGACTGCGGCCATCTGACAGGTCCCAAGGAGAGTAAAGCTGGTCTTGGGCCGACACGGGGTTGCCAGAAACAATATGAGCATTGTGTTCTGCCAACAAAACACTTTACTAATTTCCGTGTATTCATTTAGCCTGTGGTTTTCAATGTCCTAGTGTTATATTTGCAGATATCCCCGCTGCAGTGCCTAGTGCAGGAATCGTCATCATCAAGGATAGCCAAATCAGTGTTAACACTGATGCTGGTGCCGGAAAAAGAATCACCGACAAAAAAACAACGAATTTGTCGCAACAAGCGAGTGCTTGCGAGTGCAAAATTTACAACGGCCTGGCGCTATTTGAAGAGCACTTTTTGACATTGATCCAGGCTGTTTGATCGGCGTTTAGTGAACACTCATCAACATTGACCTTGCTTCTATGAAAATGCCTGAAACTTATCACAATCGGTCCTGCTTCTGTGGCGTGCCTAAACACTCATCAGCTTTCGCTGAGTCGATCGATTGATTGACTAGCCTAGATGCTTACCGATTTCTCTATTGAGATTTTGATGGAGTTTTAGGGTCCTAGTAGGTTCAGGGCGTTCTAGGGTTATTTTCAGGAATCTGACCTTCCTGACACCTGGCTCCGGCAATTTAGACTAGCATGAATTCGTCTAATTTTATCCTCAGATGATCACTGTCTTAAACGTTAATGGTGAAAATATGGTTCTAACAGGAAATGATAGTTTAATAACAATTCGAATTGTGGACGATGAAGAACAATAAACCACACAACTTGAACCACAGATGGCTTCACAGAAAAAAAAAACAATCAAAAACATCGTAAACGAAAGATCCAGCTGGATTAGGCTCCCGGAAAACCAAATTTGTTTGCAAATGAGTGTATTTCACTAATTTTCCTTTCAACTGAGCATACGAAATCTCTGCTGGAGGCTTCGGCGGGTTGGGATATCAAGAAAGCCATAAAACGGAGGATCTTATACCCGTATCATCATCACTACCACCTGTAAGAACCGCGTACTTGCCGTACAGTGGTTATAGCTGCCACAGTTTTGTCCACCGATAATCTGGGAAGATGGGGTAGGTAGCTGCGCATTGTAAGCAGTAGTTCATATAACTGATGCCTAAATACACGGTTGTCAGTGGACTTTTCATTTGGGAGATCTTGGGGAGTCATGATTTTGAGAGCAACAGCTTACCAGAGTGCTCTCAGCCAGCCGGAGCCAAAGTGCAGCAAGGTCACGAAAAGCTTGTCCTCTAAACGCTATCGCCTATGTGTTCAGTTCGCCCCCGTTTTCCTTGACTAAATGCACAAGAACACACCACCATTCCACAGAATCCACTTATTTATTTAAGATTAAAGAAGCTTTTCTTTAAGTAGTAGTAACTGCTAAGTAGTATAGAACTTATTTCTCACATTATCCTGGTCTCACTCGAGTCCAATGAGCATCATTGTGAGTTGCCTTCACAGGACTACGTCTGAATAACGGATTCTTGCGTTTGCCACAAAGCTTGCTTGGAATCTTGCGTTTTGTGTCACCTACCGATTTCAATCGCTCTCTTCTAATTTAATGAGAACCAGAGCCTAGTTTTTTCTCAGATGCAGGTGTAGATTTTGAACAGCCTGTTATTTTTCCTCCAAAAGACTATGTCACATTGATAACCAGAACCAAAAACTATCCGAAGTGTCGGGAGAAGAAACGCTGCTGCAAGACCGAATGATCGACTGGACCTTGGCCAGGAAACCGGCTTCTCCGGATCCAGTGAGCACAATCGCCGTCAGCGGTCGTCGCCATCTATTTGTCGCACGACTTTCTGGTATTGTAAATCACTATCGGTTACCTGATTTACATCTGGAGAGTACTTTTCAAGCAACAGACACACGGCCGTACAGAATGCAAGTCAACTGTGACGCAAGGTAACCTCTGTTGTTCAACCATGGACCAGTGACTAATCTTTCCAGGTTTACGCTACTCACAGATTTATGAGTAGTTTACTCTGGTCACATTTGGTATGTTATTTTCACGGAGTTTGCATTGAGATGCTGAGAAAGTTTTGTTTTTCCTAACTAGAATAGTTCTTAAGATTGTTTTTCTTCATCCATAAATCGATCGATTTTAGATAACTCTTCAATGACGATCAGAAAATGACCTCTAACTGTATCCGATTTCTCAGCGTTGCTGACTTCCCCATGGATCGGGTTATTCCGTAGAGATTGAGCTGCATAGGCGTTCGTGTCTACCCAAACTGTCACAGAGAAAGGGTTTGAGCGTTTAAATTTAGCAGATCAGGCATAAAGACACGTCTGACGTTGCAGTCGGTGAAAGTTTGCACAATTATATTGAAGAATAACACGGGGATGTAAAGCGTAAAAAGTCTGTGTGGAGTAGAATGAGGATGCGTGTGGCAAAGTGGAGTTTAAATCAATCCTTGGAGATGGGTCACGAATTCAGTGACTGATTCTGATGACCTAAGGTGGGATAAAATTAGCGTACTTCTACGGACTGGGGTTAGATAGGATATTCAACGCTAACTTGAACAAAATCTGTGCAGAATATCATAAATAAACGATTCAGTCCATTCATTTTTTTGTCTCCAGTTAACACTCTTTACTTGTAATAGAGGTTCAGGTAAGAGTGCTGAAAATTCGTGGATTACACCTACCTGATGATCTCCAGAAGGAGTAAATCTGATGGCTGGTCAAAGAGAGGTTTTCAGAACCTTGTAAGCAGTATCGTTTCAGTGAAACTCAGACTATAAACATGCCGGCTATCTCTTCCGGCATATTCGGACTACCTGCTACCTTCTTGGAACACGGCACGGCATCCTACTTTTGTCAGCAGTATGAGAAAACAGGATAAGACTCCTCGAAAGCCCATTGTCGGTTTTACGCCATCTAGGAGTTATTAAGTAGAGTATGACCAGTTTTTTTCATAAAGGAAACAACTCACAAGGTTTCTGAAAACTGGTTGACGGCCCACGACCGACATCACCCTTCTTGGAGCTCATCAGGTAGGCGCACTCCCCGGGGTTTGCGTCAAACTTATGTTTTACTTGAACTCAGATTGGACAGATCTTGACAAATACACTAATTTGCATATCAACTGAGTTTTCTTGGGGGACTCAAATGAACCTCTCGCTTGTAATATTCTTACTTGTACACATGTGTGCAAACATATAGGTATATACTTTTCATGTTGTGGCATAAAGTTCGAGCTTCTTTTATCCATTTCCGAAAATCACTGACTAAAATACATCAAAATATGTCATATTCTGCAATGACTTCTTTGCTAATCAGTTTGTCCGTTTCGTCTAGCCTCTGTTGTAATCAGGTGACCATTATTTCAGTTTCCGCTTATTTGTATTTGATTTCGTCTAACCTTACATGCAGAAGGACACGTAGATAATATATTAAAATGATTCAGTATACATAAATAAGAATCTGACTGCCTCTTAGAACGGCTTTTCTCCCACCGTAAAGCCTACTCACGTCTACTCGCTAAGAAGCATTACCATTGGCTAACTTAGAAACCAGAATAAGTGGGAGCCTTGAATAAGACGTCAGAATAATTCAGCGGTATTCCGGCTGTGTGTAGATAGTTACTTGTCTTACTTTCCTTCCCTTCAGTGTGACTGGAGTTCGCCGGGGATATACTGGTCTCAGGAATGCTTAATACTTCGGTTACCTCGATTGACTGTCAACGGTTAGGTCTGGACAGCATGTGACTTAATTCTGATTCCAGTCATGGATGCTATCTGACTCAACTGTGTTGAGCTAAGTATCCAGTCGGAACTGACGTTCTTCTGATCACAGATTAGCTACCGGCAGAGGCCGATCAACAGTGATATGCTTAAGGTGGTTACATCTTCAGACAGAGTCCCGCAACTCAAATGCAGCAAAATCAGAAATGGTCCTGTCAGAGTTGTCATGCGTACTGTCTTTCCTTCATTGTTGTACTAAACCAGTTCACTTCCATTAATATCACTTGAAGCCATCAATCATAACTACCTTAAAAGTCGTTTGTACATAAACTATTTTCAAAACTTACATGTCGATAAGGTTCATAGAAGAGCAGCCCGTCTGTCTGTCCTAGGGCGCTGTGTAAACGCATTTTTAAAGCCAACCTTTATACAGTCCCTGTGATAAAGGCTTTTACTAGTAGGGCAGAGGGCTGTTGAACTTAGCCAACATTTGAGTAGCTTTCTAGAGGGGAAAAGTGCTACGCTAAGTTTTGGTGCAATTGAAAGATCCCTTGCCGGTTGAAAGGAGTAGGGACTGTGTGTATAAAATTGACTGCAACGATTGCACTACGGTCTGCATAGAACAAACTGCCTGGGAATTGCACACCAGAATTAGTGAGCATAAAAGAAGGATAAGCAAACCACCAAGGAATGCAGAAGAGTACCAAACGCTGGTCAAAGACTCAGCGACATGCCTTCGACATGAGACAGAATAGATCTAAAGAATGTAGCCGAGGCGGTGGAAATTACTAAGCATCACAGCGTGAATAGAATCGAGGGTGTGGAACTGGTGAGCGGTCTCAGATAAGCCGAGCTGACACGTGACAGTGTCAATCCACGTTGAATCACTAGCAAAAACAAGGGGTGGAGGTGTTAATCGCGACCCGACCATAGTTCACAGCATCCCTCTTACACAACTATCTTAGCACTAGCTCATCCACACAAACGGACGGAAAGTTCAAACGACGTTCAAGAGGGATCACCAAATGGACCGAACCGGAAGAACTAGACCCTAGACTGAACTCAACACGTAGGTTTCCCCATCGGCCCAACACTCTTTTACGCACCCTAACACACAAGAATCCCCCGGCCGACACCCAAAAGAGATTCAGCTTGACTTAGCTGACTGGTCCTCATTCCGCCTTAAATCTGGACCAACCTCGGAACCTAGTCATTTGGACTGACGAAGCTTTTGTGTCAATAGCGAAACGTTGCCCGGAAATAAATCTACCGATTGTTACCAAACTTTTACGAAAAAAGTAGAAGACATTAAAAACGATGCGACGAAATTGTCGGGGGGGGGCGGCCTAAATGTCTGATGCACAAGACAACAAGCAAGGCAAGTTCTTTGTTTGACTTTCACAACACAGATGGAAATGCACGATTTCGTAGATGAACAGTTTTTCGAACCTTCTGTACTTTCGTTCCAGCAAGCTAGCTATTGTGGACGATTCTGGAGTACTGACCATGCATCTGACAACAGATGGTACACCCAATGGAGGTGCTTTGCTAGAGGACCGCCAAAAATTGAACGACTTCGTCCGCAAAGATGTCTGGGATATTCGGTTTTCCGAAGTAAGTTTATTCTGTATAAAACTGTTGGTCTACTGGGTGTATGGATTGCAAAGTCGTTATCACCTACGCTCCTTCGCCTCGTCCAAGTCATACAGAATCTAAGTTCACAATGGGCCAGGCTTTTTAACGAATACCGTTCTTGTCTTGTAGTAGGATAAATTGGCTCCAACAAGGTCAGTGGCCAGGAGCCGTGGCCTGACGTGAAATATGCACAAGTGGAAATCCAGTTGTGATCCAAATCAATTGCAGACCTAAGTGTTTCACATCCGCTCGACAGCACTGAAACATCTCTTGAGCAGATTCAGACTGCCTTGCCATTCAGAGGAGTATGCTACATGTATTCTGCTTGGTTTCTTGGGAGGTGACCGGGCCGCCTGGTTAAATGAGTCCTGAAACCTTTAGAATACCGATGCATCCGGGTAAAATGACCTCAGTCAACACCTTCTCTCTCTGTCGACTGTGCCACCAGTACTTTAGTCTCCAGGTGTCCCCATTTCTTACGAGCTAGCTATTTAAAACGTATACGCTCATATCTGAGATTGTAACCCTCTAAGATCACTTCACTGGTCTGCGTGGCCGCTTATTCTAAGGCACCACTGGTCTAAAAACCTACCTATTCGTCCTTTTTTTCTCACCAAAATTTTTGTCATTTCATCCTAATGATATTGATAATGAGAATGTTTTTTAATTATCGTACAACCTGAAGATCTTCAAACTATCAGAAATAGGATAAAACTAGATGTGGAAGAGAAGTCAATGTGGTTTCCGCGATTATTCCGTAGTGGTCTCATATTCAAACGTTTTGAGTTCAGGCTCCCGCTGACCGTTTATATTTCTGACTTTCCATCTGTCTGGGTCCTGTTCTACAAAGCATTCAACTGAATTTAGAACGAAATCTTTTCGCTTCAGTACGTTCCAGACCTGATCATAGATGTTAACTAAAAGTCATCTTGGTAGGCAGTTGAGATTCTCTGTTAAACCTGAGGGCGAATTTGTTCCCTGGGAGTCAGTCTAAATGCAAATTGTGCAAGGTAGACACAAAACGATCAAAACTTTTTCGGTCCTTGATTACCTACCTCTTAGCTGATCACACAGCTTACTAAACGTACGCACGGACAGTTGCCGAAATCTGATGACAGTCAAGTCATCATTACCACCTATCGAGTCATTATGAGTTTTCAGCGGTGAAGTTAGTTCTCATCATTGAGCGGAATTAAGACTGCAATTCTGCTGTTCAAACAGCCATCGTGTGGCTGTGGTGATATTCACTCATGAGAATTAATCTCACGTGACCCAGTATGGACTGGCTCATCGATTGAGGACTGTTCAGAGGAGCGACCACGTCACGTTTCCCACTCTCAGAACATTACTGAAAATTAGTAACTAAATAATCTCACATGGTTGTGTTGTTTTCCAAAGGTGGTCGAATTTCGTCACATGGTGAATGAACAGAAAAGTTATTTGACGTGTTTCTTTACGACCTTAGGACAACCCAGACATGTTTGCCATAATGGAAAAGACGCGAATGTTCATCTTTGACCGATTGCAAGCAGAACCAGCGATACAGACGTCCACTTTTATATGCAGCTTTCATAATTTGGAAGTCTTGGGTGTGCTCCTGGACGAACTGGTGGCACTTGAAGACCAACCATCAAAGGATTGTCTTTTGCGTGTACCAGTGAAGGTAAGGTCACTTTTGTTCTTGTCAGTTAGCTTGCGAACCTACATTTCCGACGAAAAACCCACTATGGAGTGTATTCCATGATCAGGCAACAATCTGAGCGTATATAACTTTCATTTTTGTTGTTTCGCTATGTATTGTATTTTAGGTGCCCCCACAATCTAATCCACGTTTCCATCCCAGTTGGTGTTTTGTGGGACCTCTTAAAGTGAAAGAGGTTTAAAGAAATTGCGTCTTGAATGGCTTTGGTCGGTGATGATTGAACGGACTTCAGTTCTATTACCGGTGACCTTTTGCAATCGACAGACGATGAATGGGGTTCTTTGCCCATAATCAAGAGGCTCTTAGGTGTGAGATCAAAATCTAGGAAAGTGTACCTGGGATTCCAAAAGAACAACGGAACCCGCATTCCCGAGGTATGCATACAACCTCGTCCTGTTGCAAGTTATCGAAATGAAATTGCTGGTGTTACGATACACCCAGCTGGAGCCGTACCCATAGACTTGACTAAAGACGCGCAGTTAGTTGAACACTGTCAAAACTGCCACACCCAAGAATGCATCCTATGCTGTATTTTTCGATGATATTGACTCTGTACTGAACATCCTGTTCTACCTAACTCTGAAACAACTAGCCTTTCAAATCAAGTCAAGACAAAGTGAAACTTTACGCACTTGAATGATGATTTCCAGTCTACAAACAACAGATTACAGTGGATGTCTTCGAAGAAAACGAGAGGCAGAACTAAAAATGGACACCAAATGTCCGAAAACAATATACTACTAACGAGGCATCGGGTCACACAGGCGTTCGGAGTTTTACGAAAAAATGGAGTAGCGGGCAACGGCGAATCTTCTACGATAGTTGTGAAAAATAATCGGGCAAAAGTCCTCACAAGGGTCACTGTGCATTCTGACCACACAACGCGTAAGGACTTCCACTGCATCAGTAAATATCTTCAAAGGACCAAAAAAGAGATATTGTAGGCTTTCTTGAGCAAGTCGGGAAACACAACAGAAATACCGGGAATTCGGCTTCAAGATAGGGGTATCGGATGCAAGTAGCATTCTTAATCTGAGAGCATATAGTGCGACACGTCGGTCTTCCGTAACACATAATGGGGCCGTCCAGTGTTCTTTTCGCTAGATAACTCGCTCACTTATGATGAGGAGTCTATACAACGAAAATTTCGGCTAATCTGATGGCTGCTGTGCAGAGGGGATCAAATTCGTCACGTGACTGACTGAACTCTAATCATAACCAGAGGTTTCTTTGCTACGTGACCTCTGGTTACTGTTGTTTAGAGCAATGAGTTCACAACTATCATCTCGCATTTCTGACGCTAAGAGTTTTTCGACCTTAGCGTTGTACTTTCTCCAACTAAAAGTCCTTTTGAAAGACTAGTTTGTTTACAGTGAGTTTTTGGTGGCATACGGTGACCCTGATACACCTCACCGCACTTGAATCTACTGAGTGAAATCACGTTTTCCCAGAAACTACCCATCTCAGTGATAGCTTGCTTGACTAACGTGACAACTGAGTTATTAATTGACACCCTGTAAGCGAAATCATTTATGACCAAAATTCGACGCTGCCAATGATAAGTGCTGTGCACTGTTGACCGACAAAGGTCATCGTTGAAATCAACAACACCGTGAAGGTAACAAAAATATAACGGCCTAATCCTCACATCTAGTTACACTCCGCCCAACATGCTTTGCCCTCCACTCAGCCATCGGCTGAACTTTCAATTGGCACATGTCAGTCACTCCGATATGACGACGCCATATCGCAAAACCTTTGCCGCTTAGCATCTGGGCTGTGTGTCTATCACCAAGTACACAATTCAAATTCATCAGGAAATCAGTCCGACCAAGTTGGTTTTAGTGCAAGCAAAAGCTGTGTGTAAGACTAGCGGAGATCATGTCCAGTCTCGCAGGATCATCGTGAAGCGGCACATAAATTTGTGAACTTGTAAAGCATATGTTCGGCCGTATCTTCCTCATAGTTATCACATTTACAACAAACTAAAACTCACAATTTTTTCTCCCTGAAATAGCAGACCAAGGGACGTGTGTTTCAGTTGATATCTATCTGAGTGTTTCAATAACGCCATATTAGATTGCGTTTATGTGTCGGATAAGGTGTTCAAGTGGGGAACACAATGGATGGAACTTAGGGAACCAAGTTGATCTGATAAGCCCCAGGACGGGTGAAACCGGTGGTGGACAATCTAAAAGTTTTTCAGTGACCTTCTGGGCATTGCCCCGTCAAAGAAAGTATTTCGATATTTTGAAAATCGCCCCCCAACAAGGTGATCTTCAGCATTCAGTTGCAGTGGGTTGTAAACAGGTGATTCTAACCGAGATGTAGTGGCATGTCTCATGAAGATTGTTTGCCCAACCAGACACTACTGTTCTTGGACTGATGACTTACCACTACTCTCCTGACTCTGGCACGTCGATGAGCTTCAATGAAGTAGCTGTTCCGACTAGTGGTTGACGTGGTAATCCTGGTCGGGTTTTCGGTACCGTTCCACATAGAGTTGATGGAAATTTCATTGGTATACGTGTGAGTTGGGGACGTGTGCTGGGAACGTCTGTTAGTTGTTACATAACAACTCTTGTTTAAAAGAACATCAACTAGGTAGATGGCTACTATTTACTTGAAACGAGAAAATTGATAATTTGCCCTACGCAAACGCTGTACTGAGAACGTGGACACAGGGATCAAGCAGCCAGCTGAGGCCTGTTCAGGCACGGTTCTTCAAACTAAAATAGTTCGAGGGTAACACTGTTGACAGACTTGGTTGTACAGCCCCGTTCGTCACATGAGTTTATGGTCGTCGGTTTTTTCGATCAACTGAGAAGCTGGCAGCGAACAAACCAACACCTATCTACGCTACCTAGGCTACCAAATTTGTCCTCTATAGCATATGAGCTGTTATCAGAATCATTCCGGTGACTTTGAGCATTCCACATTCAACACTGCCAAGTTTGGATAAGGGATGGCCGGAAATCCACTGTGATCCACGTAATCACGTTTGTATCTAACCTACTCTAGTTCCAACGGTCTTGGTCTTGATCTATTGCGATTCTCCTGGTTGGACGATACCAAATATAGAGAAGCAAATGCCTGACCGTGCAAATAATACAGTTGCCTCACATGTTGGCGATCACAAAGTAGTCAAAGATACAGACAGCAATTTAGCTCCGGTAACAGCAAAACTCAGGCCCACTATTTTCAAGAAAAACCGGGGCCACTGCGGGGAGACGACTGTTTGGAGGGCGACGTGCAGTTCATTTCTAAAACTTTTCTAAACTACTCACAAGTAGTCAAACATTACCGGGATACCAGGCAAAATGCCAACGAGTCAGCGATTTGCAAACGGACCAATATCAAATTATCTTCACCCCTATTTTTTTCTCCACTGCTCCTTTTTGAAGCTTTAAAATCCGTTAGGCTGATGGTTGAGTGGGTCTGCGTGAAAACGATGCATCATTACCCGACTGAAGGTGAAACGCCTGCAACAAAATCACCAACCCCAGAAAACAACTTAGCCGTCAACCTGAGCCACCAACCACTTCTTTAGGTGCCAAGGGTCAAAGAGAATTTGTAGCGACACAGATCCCTGCAGAAAGTATAGTGTAAATCACGCAACTGGCTTTTTATCCTGTAGAGTCTTTTCAAAGTTTGTGAGAATCAAACTGATTCTTAATTTAATGTTCGGTCTTTGCATCCCGTCAATAGGTTTTTCGTGACTGCCAATATGTGTTGGAGAAAGAAGGACCAACCAAAGCCCAAGAATTGCTGGATGCTAATCCACATCCGAAACTTAAGTAAGCAATGTTTTTATTTTCAAAAGAAAATGCTTTTTGGGTGCGTTCCTAAAACGCCCAATCGATGCTGCATGTAGGAAAGAGGACAACCAGTGGCACAGTAAAGCGAAGCGTTTTTCCGGTGAGCTGTCGACCACCCACTCCGTAGCCAGTCCACCAAAGCTTGTGCAGACAATTCTATATGGTTGTTAATAAGGATTCTCACCTGTAACTTGTCTGCTCAATATTGGGGGGGTATTCAAGAAGCGGCTCCCCCTTACTAAAGCCGATTAACTTTCTCACGAACCCGTAATTTAGGCTATTGTATCCAGGAAATTTACATTCCGCCTCGTCTTTAAGAAGCACGCCGATCGGAAGGCAAAGATTCCATGGCCACGTATCGGAAAAGGTTGTGCCCGGACTGTTCAGAAAATGGACCAATGAGAATCAAGCGTTTCCAGCTCCACGTTTCTCGCGCCATTTCAAAGATTCTAGTGCGGCAGTGTAGACCATCCTTTGGTTTGTCTTCTAGATCCAGCTGCCCTGACAGAGACCGTTTCAAGCTGCCTTGAGTTATGACATATCGTGGGGGACGAAAGGGCAAACTACGTAGTACTATGGGAATTGCCTGAACACAACTAGTAGCTGAGGCTGTTGCCTAGGTCAGTTATAAGACTGTATACCTGAAAATTTGCTCTTTGTGTTGTGATATACACCTGTAAGACCAGGACTGGTGTACACGACCCATGAAGTTTGTATGAAAGCAGTGTAACATATGGTGCATGAGGTACTCACAGCCATGTTCGGAGGATGACCAGTTTAATTCGCTGAAGTCACGAAAAAGAACTGAGGTTTCACCAGTGTGTTGTGCTATTGCGTCTAGAGATCCCATACCAAGAGGTATCGTTCCATTTTAGAACATTTTATGCAATTTTGCAATTCATCCTCCTTATGAGTATGCCCATGGCACACTACACGACGCGACGGCCAAAGTCGCTGCACACTGGGACAAATAGCTTCTCTTGACCTGACACTTGTCGGTACGAATCGGTAGATGTAACCTTTATCACCACCACCAAGGCATCCATCGTGGAAGGTATCGATTCCTCACCCAATTACCGCTTCCTCCAAAGTTCATCACATTGCTCACGCTTGAGATGTCCATGAGAAAACATCCTTATTAGAAGAGTTTGTGTGTAATTTAGTACGCGCTTTTCGTTTACTGTTTTTTCTAATACAACTTAACGAGTCCGATTGCCAAACCGAAGGCGATCGATATCTCTCACACTCTAGACAGTGTTCAACGGGCGTCCCGTGAAAAGGATGCACTTAAGTTATCCTGACCAACGGTTGACAGCATCAGTTGATGAAAATGTGTTTCAATCAATAGGTCATGTGCATAAAGCAAATATGGCAACCAAGTTGATTTCGTCGAACGACCCCAATAGTTGATGTCTGCTAACTGTTATCTTCATCTGATGGGCATAGTAAGTCTCAGGCCCATAAATAGCCCCCGGGCAGAGGGACAAAGAGAGAATTGAATAACGTTTCATGTCCGAATAGTACTATTTTAGTAGTATACCCAGTGTGTATTTAGCTGACGGCAGATTGTAACGCGAAAAATGTCTTATGTGAAAAGCGATCAGCTCCTTCGTTGTCCACCAATAAATAGACCGAAAAGCACTTCGCCGTGAATGCACTTCACTATCAGACTCCACCGCTAAAGAATCCCTCACATAATTCTATCTTACCTTCGAGAAATACACTAATTTGCAAATCAATTTGGTTTTCACGGGAGATTTAGTTGAAGCTCTCGTTTATGATGTCCTGCACACAGGCTGCGCACAGGCAGCCTCATGATTCAGTTGACACGATATTCGAGATATCGCAGTATATTTTCATAAAGGAAACTACTCGAAGAGTTTTCAGCAACCTTGTGAGTAGTTTCCTCTATCTTACCTTTCTCTTATCCCCAGGCAACTGTTGGCTGAAAGCTGTTTGGCTCGGCAAGATTTAGACACTGCTGAGCTCGGGTTCGTCCACTGTCAAAATTACGCGGGCATTCAGTTTGTCAAGCGCCTTCGAAACGTTCAGTCAAAAGTTATTCGAAAGGTAATGATAGCTGACTTATCATACGTTACTTTTTCTACTTAAAATAATCTCGACAAAAGAGGGGAGTGAGTTTCCAGAAACCTCTTCAAATTTTGATTACGCGCCTGTGAGACACGCATTAGACAAATTTTCGTAAGTTCAGTACCCCCTGTCATGCGTGCTCTCAGTCCGAGCAACAAATCCACTCGATTCGGTTGAATTCGAGATGGGAAAATCACACCAAAAAAGAGTTATCTAGTCAACAGTTTCGTGGTTTAAACGTGAACATGCTACTGATGTCAACAACGAATAGCAGTGTCCTTTCACCTGTTTAAAGATTATGGTGACTGTTAGCTGATTTCGGTTTGGAAAAGTTCCAACTGATAATGCCTCCTCTGATCCTTGTCATGATAAACTGTTCGAAAGAGCTTCGGAAGTTCTCGAGAACTACACTCATTTGCAAATCTATTTAGTTTCCACGAGAGACTCAACTGAATCTCTCGTTTATGATATTCAGATGAGTCTCTCGTGAAAACCAAATTGATTAGCAAATAAGTGTAGTTCTCGAAAAAAAGTGCAATTTGGGTGCAAGTAGATCATAATGTTGACGGAAACTCGGGGACTGCGTCTATCTGATGGGCCCCAAGAAGGGCGAAACCGGTCGTAGGCTGTCGAAGAGTTTTCAGCAATGTTGTGAGTAGTTTCCTTTATGAAAGCTTTCGAAGTTGTTCACTACTTCTGAATACAATGAGCGAACAACTGCACACGTGACGGTTTTGCATGGACACGACATTCCTTCAAATGACAATCGGTTGTGTGCTTACAGTGGTGCGGATAACAGTGAACAAGTGGAGCAGTCATTCCCTCATTGTGGAACGTTGGACCCGAACGGTCAGTGAATATTTGTTTGCAGTCGTATAGCCCAACAGGATGAACCAGTTTCATTGGAGATTAGAGTGAATTCGAGTTAGTTTCTGGTCTAGAACTGAGGTAGTCGTATCAAGGAGTAAACCTGTAAGTCAGTATTCAACTCAAAAACGTGGAGTTTTTCTCAGTGATATAACCGCTTAGGGTGTTAGGGTGTATACGACCTCCGATTTGCATCTCCTGCATCTAAATGGGGCGAGGATAAACGTGTTTAATGTGGAAGTTACCATCATCAGGTTAATCGGGTTCTATCCGCTTCCTTTCACAGGCTGAAGTTGATGCATTCTTTGGAAAAATCGATGAGGCCGAACAGCTTCTGCTGACCAATGACAGATCAGACCTGGCAATCGAACTTCGTAAGCGGTTCGGTGATTGGTTCCGAGTGGCACAGCTGGCCAAAGACTCTGGGGCGTTGGTCAAAGACGCAGAACTTGCCGAGATTTGGAATTGTATCGGTGATCACTTTGCCGATCAAATGCTATGGTAGGGTTCCATATCCGAATACATAAGGAAAAGTTGAAAGTTTTCATTCCAAACACAATCAGATGGAAACAAAATTTCTTTTCCGAAATCCAACACAACCAGTGGAAGCTATAGCCTCGCTCTAAGCGCAATATTCTCTGATTGTCGACATCATGCTTTCCTTCAACACAATTCTCAGTAATCTAACACAGCCGCCCGACAGTCTAATATCTTTGTTGCAGACCTGAACAATCAAGACTCTTAATGACAGTGTGATACGTTCAATCTGGCTATACCTCCGAATGAACCACAGATACGCGAGATATTGCTTTTGGCTTCTGTTATCGGATTCCCTGTCTTGCTTCTGCCACGGTTTATCTGTTTTTATCAGGGACAAAGCGGCCGGCTACTATCGTCAAGGTGGAGATCTCACAAAATTCGCCGAATGTCTGTATCAACTGGAGGATTACAATGGCTTGGAGCGACTGGTTGAGGAACTGCAGGACAACCATCCTTTACTACCGGAACTGGCTCATCGGCTGGCAGATATCGGTCTGGCCCAACAAGCTGTCTATGCCCTAATCAAGGTAATCAACAAATTCCGGGTGAACGATATGTGCACGGTGTGGTTGAAGGATAAAACCTAATTGAGCTCTTGTAGATACAGCTGTACTACTCACTAACAGACCCTCCATATTCATATGCATGCAAGGATGGTTTGAACATTAATAAGTGGACTGGCTGCTTGCATTATACGGCTGGAAACCTGTGCTTTCAAATTACGACGAGCTTTTACTAATGCAGACATCTTAGTCACTGATTCAGCCCAGGCAACTGTGTGATTGCACGCTCTATCCAAGACCCTATTGCAGCACACACGGTATGGCTTCGCTGAGCTTGTTATTGCTCTACTGTAGCCCAAGAATTGGTTTTAAATAAACAGAAAGCAATGAACACTAATTACGACAATTTGGATAGGTGAAATGGTTACGGTATGAATATGGGGAAAGAGGGACTTATCGTATTACAGTGACGAGTCCTGTAGCCGGACCGGATGCAGGTTTCGTGTTTCTTTCGCCGTTGCATCAGCTACACGAGTTTCCTGATTATCCGTGAATTGCGTGCCGTAATTCCTGAGCGGCTAAATATCGAGTCGGCCGAGGTGCTAAGTACTGTAGCGTTGTGTGTGGACTGTGCTCGGTTTTCCTGTTTGTAGGTGCGTTTGCGTGTGGGTGAGGGAGTGTCGGCACATGACTTGTTTGTACACGTAACAGACGGTACAGACAGTCAAGGTCAGATGAGTCACGCATGTGTGACGTGATTTACCAGTGTAGGAAAAAGGCGAGTCACGTGATCTAGTGAGCGGCTGCGAGCTGAATAATCAAGTATGTGGGTGAAGGGATGAATACAAGCTTAAAAATGAAATCTCCTAACCTTTGGAGCACTTGAGGGAAACAGTTGGAAGCTACAGTGTCTGACTAAACTGGAGAGATCCATTTAGGTACAAGTCATCCCGAAAGGTGTCTTTCCAAGATTTCACTCGCAATGTTTTCCGAAAACACTCGCTAAATAAAAGATACATAGCCACTGATTTACCTTGTATGACAGTGTTGTCGTCCCGTTTCAAGGGCAGTTTCAATCCTCACATGGAGATAGGCCTTCAAGCTCGATGACCTTTAGGTACCAGACTTGGATTTGCACAGTGTCAGGCTAGTGTCCAGCGGCGATATGAGCTTAAGTGGTAAGAAATCATACAGTGGTCTGTGCTGAAATGATCGACTGTGGAGTGCGGTTAGTACGGTTTGCTGCGCTTCGACACCCGTAATTTAAGACCACAAGTTGCCTGGCTCAAATAAGTCGCAGAGGGCCTCTATCCCAACTTTCGGCCAGGTAAAACTTCAGGCCTTCATGTGCGTACATTGGTGAATTGCAAGCACTACAGTGCTATATCGTCACTACTCAAAAAATGGCAGTGTTCGATCTTCTTTATCGAAAGCTGAAAGGCTACGTTTTAGGTTCTTTTTTCTGTTTCACTGTAGTAGTTCCGACTTCCAATGCAGAGCAGATTAATGAAGGACAGTCTGTTCATCTTTTTTTCATAAAGGAAACTACTCACAAGGTTGCTGAAAACTCTTTGACAGCCCACGACCGGTTTCGCCCTTCTTGGGGCTCATCAGGTAGGCGCAGTCCCCGAGTTTCCGTCAACCTTATGATCTACTTGAACCCAAATTGCACTGTTTTCGAGAAATACACTCATCTGCAAATCAATTTGGTTTTCACGGGAGACCCAATTGAATCTCTCGTTTGTCATGTTCTCCAGCTGAATGTGCTGCACACAGGCCGCCCCAGGATACAGTTGGCACGATATTCGAGATATCGAAGTATATCTCTTTTCATAAAGGAAACCACTCACAAG